CAAGGTAGGCTTCAGCAGTATGTGGACCAAGAACACCCAGAAGTATCAGCTGGATTTCGGAGGGGCAGATGAACTCAACACCAAATTGCTAACATGCACTGAGTTATGGAGAAAGCTAGAGAGTTCCAGAAAAACATCTACTTCTGCTTCATTGACTACACAAAAGCCTTTGAATACACAGTAAAAGCCTTTGACTATGTGGACCACAACAAATTATGGCAAGTTCTTAAAGAAATGGGAGTGCCTGACCACCTTATCCATCTCCTGAGAAATCTATATGTGGGACACAAAGCAACAGTTAGAACTGGATATGGAACAACTGATAGATTCAAAATTGGGAAAGGAGTATGACAAGGCTGTATACTGGCTAGGACAGATCCTGAAGCTGGTGCTCCAATACTTTGGCCATCTAATGAGAAGAGAAGACTCCCTGGAAAAACCCTGATGTTGGGAAAGTATGAAAACGAGGAGAAGGGGATGGCAGAGGATGAGATGGTTGGACAGTGTCATCGAAGCGACCAACATGAATTTAACCCAACTCTGGGAGACAGTGAAAGACAGGAGGGCCTGGCGTGCTCTCGTCCATGAGGTCACGAAGCATTGGTCAAGACTTAAGGACTAAACATCAACAACAACTTGTGACCTTTGCCTATTCCACAATTGTTTTTTCTAATAGCCCCGTGGGAAAACTGACATCTCAGTGACAATGGGACTGAGAAGAAGGCCTCCTCTGAGGATCCTAATTGCTGGGAAGGTTCATATGGAGAGATACAGTCCTTCAGATAGCCTGGACCCAAGTCATTTAACCAAAAGAATAACACTATATGTGTTACTCTATTTGCTTAAATATCCATGTTTGTTGACTAACTTGTTTAGTAGTCATTAAACTTTTTGAAACATAGCACTTAAGAGGTAAGATGTTGGTTCTGGGTACATGTATTTGCAGATGAAAAATAGCAATGAAGTTTCTCTTTCAACTTTGTTTATTTTAAAATACTTTTGTTAAGAGAAAGCATGTTATCTCTGCAGACATCTGTCATGGTATCTTCTAGACAGAAAAATTATGCATAATAAGAAGAAACCTCTGGGAGAGTATGAGATTGGGGTTCTAATGAATTAATGGAATTTATTTACAATTAAAAAAACAATGCATGAATATACAGTCATATTGCATAATTATACACTAATCCTTATTCCATGATGAAAAACCTTTAGGATTTAATGTATCTTAAATAGAAAACTCTTTAGATAGGCTTTTACTCAAAAAAAGAATTTTATTAAAGGCTTTTTATTAAAAACTGATTTTAAACTTAAAATCCAATTTATAATCATCATTATCATCTTAGAACTGTAGAGCTGGAAGGGACTCTATGGCTCATAGAATCCAGCCCCTGTCAAGGAGGCACAGTGGGGAGCTGAACTCAAATAATTTTTTGTTTTAAAAAAATTCAGTAATGGTATCTATCCTTGTGCTGAGCAGTCTTTTTTTTTATTAGTTAAGCATTTTTCATTGACAATCTTAAAAGGCATTGTGCATGTATTTTTATTTCCGCTAGGCAAAATGCTGCGGTGTGTTCGCTGTCCTGTTGCCTATCATGTTGGTGATGGTTGTGTCGCTGCAGGGTGTACCCTGATCACTTCTACCAGCATTATTTGTACCAATCACTTCACTGCTACTAAAGGGAAGAGCCATCATGCACATGTTAATGTAAGCTGGTGTTTTGTGTGCTCCAAAGGTAAATAAATGTAAAGACTTCTTAATTTCTTGCTAACAGCTGCTGTTTAAAATTTCATATTTTTATCATGTTTTATTAAACTGTATTGGAAGCTGTTGCTATACTAAGTAATTTCTTCTCCCTTTAAATTTTTTCATTACATTGAAAAGTATCTCTTATGTCCTCCCAAATATAATATGTGTTGCAAAGGTGTATGGAGAACGGTACGTGGAGAAGGGAAGAGCTCTGTGTGTGAGCAGTCAGTGGTCACAGTAAACATCAAGAAATTTGGAATTCTGCTAAACAATTCTGTGAAATCACTTTTTTTGAAAGAATATTAAACTTGATATAGAGCATTAGTTCCTATTTCATTCATATAAAAACTGCTACATCTATGACTTATAATAAGGCCAGTTTCTAAAGCTAATCTGGTTGGTTACCTTCAGGATTTTTTTAAAGTACAGTGGTGCCTCGCTTAGCGATTGCCTGGTTTAACAATGTGTTCGCTTAGCGATGAGGTTTTTGGAGCGATCTTGCGCTCCGTTTAGTGATGTTTCCAATGGGGAAATTTTGCATAGCGATGTTTGGAACCTTGCTTCGCTTAGCAATGACAGTTTAGGTCCCCCTGTTTTGCTTAGCGATGCCCGTTTTCGCTATTTTAAAAGTGTCTTAAAACGTTCAAAAACTGTTTAAAATGCTTGGAATTGTTAGTGCACCCTGTAAAACCTTGGCAGACTTAATTTGGCTTTGTTCTGAGTCTTCGTTAATTCCCCACTGGAATGCATTGAACTGTAGGTTTGACAGCTGTCAATTCACTATTCAGGGATCTGTAGATCTGGATGCCCTTTCTTTTCCAAGCACAATACTTGAGCTGCTCACAAACTGTTTCTGAGTTCATGGATTAGATCTTCAAGAGTGCTTAGAATTTTAAAGTTTGCTGTTAAATGTAGATTATTTTATCTTTTTCATTATAGGTGGAAGCCTTCTATGCTGTGAGTCTTGTCCTGCAGCATTCCACCCAGACTGTTTAAATATTGAAATGCCAGATGGAAGCTGGTTTTGCAACGATTGCAAAGCAGGGAAAAAAATTCATTTTCAGGACATTATTTGGGTCAAACTAGGAAATTACAGGTTAGCATTTCTAAAATTAAATATTTCAAGATATATTATTCACAGTTGCCTCTTACACTTTCCTGGAGGACCTTGTGCAAGAAGTGTGTGTGTGTGTGTGTGTGTGTGTGTGTGTGAAACTAGGAAATTACAGGTTAGCATTTCTAAAATTAAATATTTCAAGATATATTATTCACAGTTGCCTCTTACACTTTCCTCGAGGACCTTGTGCAAGAAGAGAGAGAGAGAGAGTGTGTGTGTGTGTGTGTGTGTGAGAAAGTATAAAGATGGATTTAAGCAGTCAATTGTCAGACCATAAACCACTGTTAGAGACATACCTATAGATGTGTATGATTGGAGTAAGATGATTATTAATTAAGCTTTGAAAGAACAGAGTTCTCACATTTTTTCTGGTGGTGTACTTTCTTGATAGGTGGTGGCCTGCGGAGGTCTGCCATCCGAAAAATGTTCCCCCAAATATCCAGAAAATGAAGCATGAAATTGGAGAGTTTCCTGTATTTTTCTTTGGCTCTAAAGATTATTACTGGACACATCAGGCTCGTGTGTTTCCATATATGGAAGGAGACCAAGGAAGTCGATACCAGGGAATGAAAGCAATTGGAAAGGTCTTCAAAAATGGTAGATATGTAGTAATCAACCTCAGAACTCATTTATGGAATGTGGCAATGCTGTGTTTGAAATAATTTTTCATTTCTACTGAGAAATACTGTATAGTGTTATAAATGTATTGAAATATGTGTGGTTTAGTTAAAATATTGGACTGTTTTATTGCATTTAAGGCAGTCTCACAGTCATTTTCATTCCACTCAAAGAGCTTAGTGCTACTATTTGTTAATCTATTAAAATAATATGACAGTATACTTTTAAAAATCTTGTAATTGTTTTCTTGACTCAGGTTAGTTCTGCTCTGGGCCACTGAAGGATTTTGTGTATATCTGAACTTGATGACTTTCAGCTCAGATAGATAAATCAGTGCTCATTAGATTGTATGCCAGAGTGTAGGAAAAGTTTATAAAGATTAAGTATTTACTGCCACAGTTTCTATTAATTAGTTTTTCTTAATAGCATTGCAAGATGCTGAAGCACGTTTTCAAGAAATAAAGTTTCAGCGGGAAGCTAAAGAAAATCAAGAAAATGAACGCAAACCTCCTCCTTACAAACATATTAAGGTAAAATGTTTGATATTGTGTCTTGTTATTGCTTCTTGCCCAGTCTTGATCAGTTACTGCAGAGTAAGCTCTTCATATACCACCCATCATGACCTCTGAGTTGGGACACAATCCCAGTGATGGTAGGTAAACTCTGTACAAGAGCATTTCCTTTTCAAACTGTGGCACTCCACATGAGGGTAGCAATGATGGGAGGGGTGCTGGCACATTTCCCCTCATGTATTCAGTTTAACCTTGTTCTTCTTTGTGGGTTCAGCAAGTGTGCAGAGCAGCAGCTAGATGGTTCTGCTTTAAGACTTTCTCCTTTTCAGCCAACACTCTTACGAATGTAGTTAACCCTACTGTTCATCCTTTAGTTTTGTCCTTTTCATCATGACAGAAGTAGTTAGGAGAGTGTTCTTTGAGCCACTTTTAAGTCTGGTAGCTCATTTTAAAAATATTTGTGCACCAGAAATGGAAACTCTTTTTAATGCCTGTTTCACCAGGAAGGAGTTAAAAAAATTCTCCTCCTGAGAGTCATTTAATTTAGTCCTGACTGGCAGAGGCAAAAGTTTAGATCTCCCTTCCCCCATTCTCAAGCTTGCAGCAATATTTATGTTTAGAAGGCTGATAACCAGTTTTTTAAAAAAAGTCCAAGGTTCCCCTCACCCAAAATGGCTTTTTTCAAAGTCAGTATCCCCCCCCCTCGCAAGTCTGGTTTCTTTAAAAAACACACACACAGTTGGAACTAGTCATTCTCTTTCCAGATAGGCAAATTTGGTCTTTTCAGTATATTTGATCTCTTAAAATTGCATGCAGAAAATATTACTGGTGTCTGTACGATGGGTGGTGTGTAAAACAGATTTACTTTTTAAAAATCAAAACATAAAAAATATTTCCCTAAATGCCCCCAAATCTGACACAGGCAAGAGCAGACTGTCAGTTACATCTGTGTCCAGTGTAGTGCTGACCTGATGTCCAGTTTCAAAGTTTATAAACTTTTGTTTGGGATTCTCCCATGTTTAGAATTGCATTATGGAATGTTGATTTGTGCTGTAGCACAATATCTACTGCTTCATTCTTGTGCAGCAGTAATACAGGGTCCACATCAGGACAGTCAAGTGCTAAAGCATATCCATTTCTTTCAGAACAGTCCAGAGCTTTTCATGATCCATACAATTAAAAGCTTTGCTATAGATCTTTGGAAGAAGATCATTCTGTGCTATAAAAGAAGTGTAGGAAGAGGGGTGGGGACTTAAGTAACTGAAGAATGTAGAACACGGATATCCCAGATATGGGAGGTATCTGGAATGGCAAGATTAATTAAGTCAGGGCTGGACAAGCTTTGGCTTGTTGGGATCAAATTTCTTTTATGTGGAACCTGCCTCAGGCTATATCCTGCCCACAAAATCAGACCAAAAGTGTTTAGAGTCTATTCCAATTTCGTAAATCCCATTTTTCAGTGTGAAAAATGTGTGGGCAAACAGCACCCTGTTTTAAAGGAGACTCATTGTTCCTGTGCCAGTTCACATAATTTTTCTGCTAGAAGAAAATAAATCAGCAGGTGGTATCCATCCAAATGAGTGGAAGGAAGATAAGGGGCCACAAACACATATTGTCCATCTCTCCTTTAAATATTAACAAAATGGTGTTTATAAAAAAGAGTGTGAGATGGAGGTGAATTTCCAAAGTTAATGAGTTTTATTTTATTTTATTTATTTGTTTGTTTCTTGGCTAGTTTATAAAAAAGAGTGTGAGATGAAGGTGAATTTTCAAAGTTAATGAGTTTTAGTTGGAATGTTGTTAATCTTTTTGAGCATTAATGTTCCATTATTGAATATTTCATTTGATATTTAGGTAAATAAGCCCTTTGGAAAGGTTCAGATATACACTGCGGACATTTTTGAGATTCCTAAAATGGGCATCAGGGATTGGAATGTTGTTAATCTTTTTGAGCATTAATGTTCCATTATTGAATATTTCATTTGATATTTAGGTAAATAAGCCCTTTGGAAAGGTTCAGATATACACTGCGGACATTTTTGAGATTCCTAAATGCAACTGCAAACCCTCTGATGAAAATCCCTGTGGTTTGGATTCGGAGTGCCTGAACCGGATGTTAATGTATGAATGTCATCCACAAGTGTGTCCGGCTGGAGAGCGCTGCCAAAACCAGTGCTTTACTAAACGCCAGTACCCTGAGACGAAGATCATCAAGACGGATGGCAAAGGATGGGGCTTGGTTGCAAAGAGAGACATTAAGAAGGTATGTATGATTAGGGTTGTTTAATTTATGGACAAAATACAGCAAGGAATCTTGTGCCACCTTAAAAACTAGCAAATTTTGTACTACAGAAGCTTTCTGTGGGTTCCCCAGTTAATTCAAGGAGAAATGTCTTGTTAGAAAAAACATCCCCAGTTTATCCCTATCCACATAGTATTCGGGTTGTTTTATGTAAGGAGGAAGGCATTCTGACAGAAAGGTTGTCCCTCCTATTCACTTTGAAAGGCAGGAGTGCAGACAAATCAGAGTCATCCAGGGTTCAGCATGGGGGAGGTCAAGGCCAACTTTCAGGTCTGAGCCCTGCCTCTGCTTTGCACAGATTGTTTTGCTTTGTCTCTGCCTCCTTGCTTCTTTCTCTCTACTCTTTATTCTGAACAAAAGGGGGAAAAGTTTTCTTCTTTCTCACGATTCTTCTATTCCTTAACTTTTCTTAATCTTTCTCTTCTGTGACTCTTTCCTGAGTCTGCTTGGGCCCAGATGATATCCAAGCCCCAGCTTTTCTGGGAATTTACTGTCCTCTCTGGGGGATATCATTGGCCTCAGGCTTAGACCTGAGTGCAGATTGTCAACCAACGTTCCCTCTAATTTTCTGCTTGCATGGGGCGTGGGTTCTGGCTGCGATCGGAAGCAAAGCTCTGCAGTGCGATCCAGCGTTGTACAGCTATGCAGCTTAGAGGGGACATTTAGAGCTTCTGTGCCAGCAGAGTCTCTTCCTGAGATGCTGTAAATTCCATACCACTATGGTATCGGAGATTCAAAACAGAAACTCTTGCCACCACAGTTCCTTAGGTTGAGGTGAGTACTGTGGCCTGCTGGGGAGCCACATGGCAGGTTCAGTCCTTTTTTGTTAGGCATTACCATATGGACCTCTAAGCTTTAGCTGAGGTCTCTTTCAGGAGAAGGATGCTGCAGCAAATTGCGGCTCCTGCCAGCTGTACAGAGTAGCTACCTTTAATATATACCATATTGGAACCACAAAATGAAGCATCCACACCAGAATCAAAGAACATGAGAGACACTGCAGACTAAAACAACCAGAAAAGTCTGCAGTAGCTGAACATGCCCTAAAACAAACTGGCCATGAAATTCTATTTCAAAATACTGAAATACTGGACCACACCAGCAATCATTACGTCAGACTGCACAGGGAAGCCATTGAAATCCACAAGCACCAGCAGAACTTCAACAAAAAAGAGGAAAGTGTGAAGCTCAACAAAACTTGGCTCCCAGCTCTCAAAAATACAGCCTGCAAAAAGGTCAATGAACTCTACCCACCCACAAGGACAGGGGATCACTACACACAAAAGACCAGCTAATGACACCCATCAACCACGGTGACGGATAATCTCTTCTCCTTAGCACAACAATACACCCACAACAATACACACTAATCACCCATCTACAGAAAAAGACAAAGGCCTATTTCACAGCCATAAATATTGCACTGCCAAGCCAACAACAACAGAGCACAGAGTGCTGTCCTCTGAAGATGCCGGCCACAGAGACTGGCGAAACGTTAGGAAGAACAACCTTCAGAACATGGCCAAAGAGCCCGAAAAACCCACAACAACCATCATGTAACTAGATCCATGGTAGAATCTGGCTTTGATTCAGTTAAGTATGCTAAAGATTTGATAACTGGTGATGTACATATAATAAGCTCCCCAAAACCTTAAGGCAGTTTTGTTTTATCCATGCTAAGCAATTGTTAGAGAACTTACCTCTAACAGCTATTGTTTCGTTTTAGCAGAAATACTTCTCTTTTCCAGGGTGAGTTCGTGAATGAGTATGTTGGTGAGTTAATTGATGAAGAGGAATGTATGGCAAGGATCAAATATGCTCATGAAAATGACATCACACATTTTTACATGCTTACTATTGATAAGGTATAGTGCTTTTAAAAGTCTTAATTTGAATCTCATGTTGACCTGGATAAAGAAAAAATGTTCTTAACATGAACTTTCATTTTAGCAATGAGAGCGAGGTAAGTACATTTGTCCAAAGCGATCTCAGTCAAAAAGAAGCTTTTGGCATCCATGGGGAAAGGAAGTGACAGGAAGTGCTAATGTTTCTTTCTCCCTCAGATTCTCTTGCTGTGCTCAATTGTTTTTGAAGCATAACGAGGATACATGTGATTATCAGTTTTGCTGCTTTCATTCCGAAAAATGTTCTGACCTTGTAAACTCCCCATTTGACCAAGAATGCAATAAATAATCAATCAATCAGTTGATCAGTTAACTAAGATTCCAGCTCATGGAAAGCATGCACAGATAGTGCATTCTTTACCACTTCAGACAGTCACTTTCCATGATCCAACTAATGGCAGAGGGTGGAGTTGGTGTGCTGTGCTGCTTATGTGTATTCACAGGTTTTTAATAATGATCAAATAAGGCAGGCACAGACCTTTCTCTTCAGGCAAGCCTTTCCTCAATAACTGGCTGTCTGAGTGGGATTTTTGAATGGATTGTTATGCCTTACTGCTTTGAATGTGTTTTAGTATTGCTTTTGTTTACCATTTCTCACAGTGGTATTTGTTTGATCCTTTTTAGTATCCGTATGCTTATTGTTTCTAGCTTTAAATGTTGACTTTTAATGTAATCTTCCTTGGGTCCTTTTTAGGAAGAAAGGTGGGGTATAGGGTGTCAAAACCATTGTTAAGCGAAAATCGCCCATAGGAACCATTGTTAAACGGAGCGCAAGATCACTCCGAAAAAGTCATCGCTAAGCGATTTCATCGTTAAACGAAGCAATCACTAAGCGAGGCACCACTAGTTTTTTTTTGAGAGGCACTCTTTACAGAGCCTAATAGGCAGAAAGAATCCCAGCAAATTTTGTGGGTTGTAGTGCAAAAAATATGTAAGTCCTGTGTCTACTCCACATAGAAGTCTTGTAGAAATCACAATCAATGCTGCTGATGATGCAGCTTTACTGAGCATACCATGTTGCTTTATTGTATCCACCTCTTAGAGAGTAATAGTGCCAGAGCTGAAAGTAGTTTACAGAGTTCATTTTCCTCCTGAATGATAGCTTAAGAGGGTTAAATGTGAGTTATCCTACCTATTTATTTGTTTATTTGTTTATTCCGTTTATACCCCGCTCATCTAGACCAAAGTCTCCTATGGGTGGCTAACAATAAAAAATAAAAACAATATAATAAAATAGAGGCAACATTAATAATATAATTCAAGATGGCAGGATTAATTAAATGATGACAGGAGGGAAAGACTGCCTAAAGAGCCAGGTCTTAAGTTTGCTCGTAAAATCACCCAGCGAGGGAGCTAGGCAAATCTCTGTGGGCAGATTGTTCCAAAAGCGGGGGGCCATTGCCGAGAAGGCCCGGTTTCTTGTTCTTTCTCTCCAGACCTCCCTCAGCGTTGGGCCCCTCAGCCGCCCATCTTGGCTAGAATGAGGGATTTGGGTAGATCTAGGTGGGAGGAGGCGTTCTGCTAGACATTGATGTCCTAAACCACTGGTTCTTAACCTTGGGTTACTCAGGAGTTTTGGACTGCAACTCCCAGAAGCCTTCACCACCAGCTGTCCTGACTGGGGTTTCTGGGAGTTGCAGTTCAAAAGCATCAGAGTAACAAAGGTTAAGAACCACTGTCCTAAACCATTTAGGGCTTTATATGTCATTGTTAACACTTTGACATCAATGTGGAAGCGAACCGGCAGCCAATGCAGGGCAGCTAAAGTAGGGGGAATATGTTGATATTTTCTCACCCCGGTGAGAAGTCTAGCCACAGCGTTCTGCATCATTTGAAGCTTCCGCATCAATCTCAAAGGTAGCCCCACACAATCGCGGGACAAGGGTGTCTGCATAGACTCCTTCTCAGAAAGAAAGATTTAGGACAAGCCCCTGCCTTTGCAACATCTCACATCAGGCATAGTCCACTCGAGAGATGTCATGTACTCCAGATGCGAGTGTTCCTCTTGCTTTGACTTCTCCATGGAGAAATGAGATCCAGTATAAACTGGGTAGCAGCATTGCCTATCAAGATGAATTCACATAACTAGTCCACTCTCACACTGGATTACAGAAGCTGAGGAAGCACCTTATCATGGCCAGAGGTCTGCTCATAGTAGAGGCATGTTTTAAGTATACTTACCCAGAAAAGATGGTTACTACCATCTTTCTCATAGTTATCATCACAAAGGATATAGAAGCCATTCTTCCTCAGGCCAATGCTATGTGCACCCTCATATTGGCCAAATTGTACCATGTGGAAAACCACTGCCTCCCTTCTGGCTATTTGGCATCCCATATGTTTACACTCTGTGGTGCAAATAGCACCCTTCTCTAATTAACACAATGCCTTAGTACAAAACTTGTATAATATACCAGTGTCTCTCTGTGTGCCATACTTGGTTATTGGTTTTTTTTTTCTTTTCTCCTGGGGACTTCCTCCATAGCAGCACCACCACCAGCCTTCTTCCTGCGATCATCTATACTGACTCAGTTGTCTTAGAGCATCCACCGAGTGTTCCCTCCCTACTGCATTGTCTCAGTCAGTACAGGCTTATTCTGGGAGAAAATGGAAGAGCCAGTAACCTGTCCTTTGTCTTCCTTTACGGCAATGGATATAACTTGGAGCAATCTTCACTGCTGTCTGTCAGTGCTTATTTCCTCCTCAGATTCCCTGATTTGGAGCCAGCCTCCCCATTGGATGTGGTTCTGGTGTCTTATGCTGTACAGAATATTTGATTAACACTGAGATCAAGGCTCAGCTCTCACCAGTGACAGATGCTGTTTTTAAGAGTGCAGGATAATGCTGTGACACCTGTCATGATTCCTTTGTTTCCAGAACTTCTGTACTTAATCTAGAAGTCCTGGTACAAACCTTCATCCATGTCCCAACATAAAAAGAATCTCTACAGAATGCAGTTGAGTACCAGATTCTAGTTTCAACACCTGGCTCAAATCTACCACTATTGCCAGCACCTCACAAGGGAAAACAAGCAGCAACCATATTCCACACCTGTGGAGAAGAAGAGGAGAAAGCTTAGGGCTTTGGAACTGCTACTTTTATTCATCAACAACCTTAATTACCCATACAAGTAACTATGAGACAATATTGCTTTTCAGCATGCTGGTTTGTTTTGTTTTGTTTCATTTTTGTTTTGCTTTCTTCTATGGAGAAAGATGCTAGTACAGTGGTGCCCCGCATAACGTTTAACGACAAATCTGCATAGCAATGTGTTTTGATCGCATTGCAGTGTTTCTAATGGCCAAAAATCGCTTTGCGATGATCGGTAAGCGTTTGGCTTACCGATTTTTGCATAGCGATGTTTTTTTTAACAGCTGATCGGCGGTTCCAAAATGGCCGCCGGGTAAAGAAAATGGCCACCCGCACTGTTTTCGCGCCCTTTCCTTCCTTACCAGGCAGAGAAAATGGCGGCCGCATGGAGGATTTCCTCATAACGGTGAGTTTTTTGCCCATAGGAACGCATTAAACATGTTTTAATGTGTTCCTATGGGCTTTTTTCCCCCACATAGCGATGAATCCACATAGCGATAATTTTTGCAGAACGGATTATCGTCGCTGTGCGGGCCACCACTGTAATAACTTGACTGACCTCTTTAGTCAGTTGGTTAGTTTAGTCTAATGGTTAACCAAACCTGCAAGTTCCCAAGTGGAGGCCTATCTTATTGAACAATAGCTTTTTCCAGTTTTACTTAATGAAAGATCAATCCTTATTGAGGGTGTCCCCCTCAACCCTATATCAAATAGATAATTGATGCATCTGGGAAAAACACATAGACTGTCTTTCTACAATTTGCCCATTTTTTTAATATGCCAGTAGCTACTACCATGATCACCACTATCCTCCATTTTGTTCTCCATTTGAAGATGAGAGGATTAGTTGTCTCTTTCCTGAAAGATTAGTTAGCTGCTGTTTCTACCAACCTGTCCCAGATATGGTCCTCTTTTTCATTGTTTTTGATCCTTTAGTTAAGAAGTACTTTAAAGTTAATTGATAGCTCAACTAGTTCCACTGTGACCTGTTCCCAATTTACTAATGAACCATCTGAGTCATCGAATACATTGGATTCTGATCTAGCGCTAACATAATTTTAAGAAAACATTCTTTGTATCCATTACATCTGTTAGTCAAGTGAATGAGCTCTCTGCAAGACTCTCTCTTGATTTCCAAAGAGATAATGTCTTCATACTGGATATTTCTTTCCTCACATATGTCATTTCTTAATTTTATGAGGCTTAATACTGACAAATTTGTTCCATTTCTATACTTCTATTCTGTTGAGATGTATCTACTCCCACTGAGATGTCCTACCTTCCTTGGATACATAAAACATCCTAGCCTTCTATACTGAATGTGCACACTATTTCAACAAGTGACAGAGACTTTTAATGTGTTGTGCAAGTCTTCAGATAGGTTCACCAATGTGTCCCAAAGCTACCTGTTGCCTATGAATTAGTAGGCCTGCCAATTCTAATCGACACATGAGCTATGAATTCTTTTCTTGCAGTATTGTGTGGTATCTCTTTGCAAGATGTCTGCAGAATGGCCATAGTTCAGAACCATCCACTTTTATTACTCACTGCCTCATTGATGTTCAAGCCATGGCTGATGTTTCCTTTGGGAGGGCAGTCCTCTCATTAGTTCTAACATAATGTCTTTCTTCCTCTAATAAATGAGCTTGCTTGTCACCCATGCATGTGAATCACAGAGGATACAAAGAAGCAGAATGGGTTGTGAATACACAGTCCACCTCCTTCCCTGTGCCACTTTCTGTAAAGGAATAGTGGGAGGCCAAGAATTGAGGGAGTTAGCTAAGATGCACATAGTGGAGGAATGAAACAGGTTTTCTGTCCAAACTACTGAGCAGTAGAATATTCCAAATTGAGGTTATTATTGTGTGCAGGATCCATTTATGAGTTCACAGACTGACTAATATATAACAGCCACAAAATATTGTGTTGAGTGTATTTGTCTTATATGTTCTCTTTAATCATTGGCATGTTATGAAGCTTACACATATAAAAACAATGGATATACAATTTTATAGAAAAAAGAAGTGTTTAATAAATTCATGCCGTATATGGTTTCACAATTTAAATGTTTGAAAGATGCTTCAGTGAATAAAATTCCTATTCCCTGTTAAAATGGAAGCACTTGTGTAAGTCTTCAGGAAGCATTTTGTAGTTACAAGATTGATACACATATGTTTCACTGTATATAGTAGCATTGTTTGTGGATGTTGAATTTAGCCTATATTTCACAGGTTAAATAAAACCAAGCATGGTTTAAGTGTACATAATTGGTTAGATCTGCATTACTGTAAGAGCAATCATATTCAAATAATGCTGCTTTAATTAGCTTCCATTTTATTTTATTCCTTACACTCAGGACCGCATAATTGATGCTGGACCCAAAGGAAATTATTCTCGTTTTATGAATCACAGCTGTCAACCAAATTGTGAGACTCTGAAATGGACAGTACATGGTGATACTCGTGTAGGACTATTTGCTGTGTGTGACATTCCTGCAGGTACCTACCGCATGTTAAAAATACTGATCTCTCCAGCTCAGAGCATCATGTGCAGCATAGGTTGCATGAAGAGCTGACTTAAGTTGGGGCTCCCATGTAAACTGCAGCCAGTGCAGCATGTGGCTGCAGCTAGTTTCTTCTTCCTTGAGCTATTTGTCAGCTCTTTTGGTCTGGCACATTCAAGGTGCTGGGGAAAGGGGAACCCTTTGGCAAATATGTTAAGGTGTGTGCTTTTGAGACCGTTCCAATAACTTTATCTCTTGTTCTCCTTTACTCAGGGACAGAATTAACTTTTAATTATAATCTTGATTGTTTGGGCAATGAAAAAACTGTATGTAGATGTGGTGCCCCAAACTGTAGTGGCTTTCTTGGAGACAGACCAAAGGTATGTACAGTACATGGAGAATGCAGTGCATTTACCATTTTCATCATTGATAATGTTTCCGTCCCATCCGCCCCAAGATCATACTTGGGATTCATCTTAATGGCTGAAATCTGCTGAGCAGTTCAACAAACTTAACAGAGATTATGGCAGCAGCAAATTGCTGTTGATCAAATACTTCATTTCTTTATTTCAGGATGCACAGGACTTTGTGAACAAGATGTGTGCATCCCAAAATTGTCTTTAGTTATTGATGACTTACCTTTAATTACGCAGTGCTGAGCAACAGGATTCCAGCCAACATTTGAACAACTAACAGTTGGCAATAACTTAGATATCATAAATGTAAAATTATCAAATACCATTAGAAGAAATACATGACAACTAATTTCCATGTTCTAATACTTTAAAGAAATATGACTTGGTTTCAACCAAAAGATTTGGTTGTTCCCACTCCACCTTTTCTGAGGAGGGAATTTTCCTTGGAAGATAATTCCATAACTGTTGTGTGCTTCACTGCCTGACTTTCCTAATCTTGTTTAATACTGCTTAGATCAAATTTGGCGGTGGTGGTGGTGGTGGTGGTGGTATTGGAGAATATTTGGAATTTTGAAAGAGTACTATGAAAACTCCAACAAAATGGCTGCCATGTAATAGAAACACCCATTTTCCAGGAGGCATAAAGATGGGATTAAAAGAAAAGTAACTTGCCCTGGAGCCTGAAAACAATGGCCATATGTTGCCAAGCCTTTGATTGGACAGTTGAGTCCTTTACTAGCTTTACAGATGTGTTGAGGCTTCTATATCCCTTTTTAACCTTCTCTTGGCAGTAAGCAAACTCCTATGTTCTGCATCAGTTAAAATTTCAGAATGCTCTAGGACAGGTCCCCACCCCCAGCCTGTGACTCTGCACTTGTCCATGGCCTAGGCAGGACAGGGCCGCAGACACAAATCTCCTGCCCCCCTGTGAGTGCGCCCTGTGTATATGCGCAAGCGTGCCATGCCCCCGCGCGTACAGACACCGCCCCCCCCCAACCGGTCTGCGGTTGGGAAAAGGTTGTGGAGCACTGCTCTAGGAAACATTCCTGTGGTGAATGCTCCCCTGTATGCTTCCATGTCCCAAATTTCATCGACAGCAACCACCCACCCCCGCATTTTTCTCTGCCTTTCTTCCTGTATGGCCCAGTGAGGACTCGTTTGCTGCTGGTACGATCTGGAGAACGGCAACAGTAGCGCCATTTTCTTTCGCAGCTTTTCTGCTACTGTTGCCTTTATTGTATGTAGAGTAAACATGTTTCAATGTTAAAATCAACCTCACGAGCAGGGAGGGGAGGGGAAGGGAGAGACAGTGGGTTTATATTGTCTTGTGTTAACTTAAGTTACAATACAGTGGACCCTTGACTTACAGACGGCTTGAGTTACAGACTTTTTGAGTTACAGACTTCTCTAGCCGCAAAATTTAGGTTTGACTTGCAGCCTGAGAATTGACTCACAGACCAGAAAAAAACCAAAATGGAACAAAAACGGCCTGTTACGGGATTAATCGGTTTTCAATGCACTGTAGGTCAATGGAGACTTGACTTACAAACTTTTTGACTTGAGAACCGCCTTCCAATACGGATTAAGTTCTCAAGTCAAGACCCCACTGTATCGTGTGGTGGGGTAATTTTGGGGAAAATTCTGTCTTTAAAATTGATTTTTTTCCCTTAGTGCTTATGTTATTGTTAGCTTTCATTTATGATATTTTAAATTTATTTTTGAACATGATTGTTAATTGTCTTATGTTTTAGTTGCCCAATTTAAATGTTTTGTAAATTGTTATTTTAGTAAATTATTTAATCTTATGGTAGACTAATTTCAAATGCTGATTACTTGTTAATTTTTTAGTATCGTTTTATTACTCTGGTGTATTCTGTTTTACCTTAGTGTATTTCATTTTTTCTTCTTTCTACATTGACATGGAGAGGAGGGCCTGCCCCCCCCCAGCGAGGGTTCTAACATCAGTGTGATTACGGGTAGGGGGAGATATGGCGCTGGCACAGTGCCTACTCGTTTTAGAAGAACAGTGAACAGATGTCTGAAGGCTGTTCACTGTTCTGGCACTGTGACCAACTGCCAGTCTCGAGGTAGGCAGATCAGCTGGCCCTCCACACTAAAGCTGGTGCTCTTGAATGCCAGGTCTGTGTCCAATAAATCCCAGATTATTCAAGATCTTATTCTGGAGGAGGATGCAGACCTGGCGTGCATAACCAAAACTTGGATGGGCAGGGAAGGGGGAGTTCCCTTGACACTTGCCTGTCCTCCTGGCTATGCAGTCCAGCACCAGGGTAGACTGGAGGGGCGGAGGGGAAGCTATTGTTTATAGAAATACTCTGGAGGTTATTAGGCACTCTTTGGTGGTGAAGCCAGGTCTGGAGGCCCACCACGTGTTGATTCGGGCCAGGGATGGTATTGGGATCTTGCTGAGTTATCTGGTTTTCTCCACTGAGCAGAGCGTGGTCTGATGGTGACTGACATGGTGTCAGTCCCCTTGTCATGGTCAGATCACTACCTAATAAAATGTAACCTCTCAGCAGCACTCCCTCCTCGCAGGGAGCATGGATGTATTTCAATGGTCCACCCTCAAAGGTTACTGGATCCATCAAGATTCCAGGATACCATGAGACAGATTCCAGCTGATCTGTCTGGCGCTCCTGTCCAAGCTCTGGTTGACGGCTGGCTTGCCGCTACCACTAGGGCCGTAGACACGATCACTCCTAAACGCCCTCTCAGGTGCAGAGCTCGGCCAGGGTCCTGGTATAATCAGGACCTACGAGCAATGAAGCGAATCTATCCGGAATTGGTCTGGGTGATGGGCCTCCCACTAATATTTCACCTGACCAATTTGCAGTATTTTTTAAAATCAAAAGTGGAGGCGATCCGTCGTGCTCTCCTTTTTTAAGTACAATGGATCGAGCAGAGATGACCTGCACTCCGCCTTGCCTGGTGATTCTCTATTTCTTTCAGCCTGTGACGCCAAACTTGGTGGACAAAGCGCTCAATCGCTGTCGGGCCTCCTCCTCCTCTCTTGACCCTTGCCCGGCTTGGCTAATCAAAGCAGCCAGCCCTGTAAGAACGGAATGGGCCACAGCAGTAATTAATGGGTATCTCCAAGAGGGCAAGGTTCCTCTTGCCCTCAAGGAGACACTCATTAGTCCCAAACCAAATTTGGCGGCGGATGATATTGGAAATTAAGGCCATTCCCTCCAGTCAATTAACTGATCTTTACTTTTTTTCTTTTTAATCACTCCATCTTGGCAAGGATTTATATAATTGTTAAAAATTTGAAGTTTTAAAAGTTTTTAGGATGTTGTTTCTGTTATGTTTTTATTATGTATGTAAGCCACCCCGAGTAGACTTTGTCTAAGGGGGGGCGGGTTGAAAATCCAATAAAAGTAAATGATTATGTTACAGTATCAAGGTTACAAAGTTATGAATGATGATGCATTGAGTTATACAGTGCAAATATCTCCAAACTACGGCCGGCAGGCCACATCTGGTCCACGTTGTGGTTTTGTCCAACCCATTCTTTTCAGCCCAGGGGCGGGGGGGGTCCGTCTGGCGGAGGTTTGTGCGGGCATGCAGCCCTGAATGCGTACACATGCACGCACACACATTACTGTTCCTTTGGCCCTCAAAAACTTTGAAAATATCTGGTGTGGCCCTCATTGTAAAAAGTTTGGAGACCCTTGATCTAATGCCTAACTGGATTGAGACTAGACTCTAGTCGTAACAAGTTGGAGCCCAACTAAATGTTAATGCCAGGATTTCTTTTGTGCTAATCAACTGGCTCTCTAGATCTATACTGTTCAAAACTTCTTAAATTTCTTAATACAGGAATTCCTCTAGATGTGGGAAGTTCTCATTTTGTATTAAATATATTTCAGAATTCATCTTCTAATGCTTCAGATGAGAAAGCAAGGAAGGCCAAAAGAAGAGCAAGGAGACGTAAAACCAAGAGCGAAGCAAGAAAAAAATCTGAGGACTACTGTTTCCGCTGTAGCGACGGAGGCCAACTAGTATTATGTGACAGAAAGTCTTGTACCAAGGCATACCACCTCACTTGCCTTGGTTTGGTAAAGCGCCCTTTCGGTGAGTAGAATGAAATGATGAATTAACAGATATTAAGCTTCCAACAATATTAGCTCTTCCTTTGGCTGGCTTAATTTAAAAAAATTAAATCTGTTGTGATATTATCTTTTTGCAAAGAAACTTCACAATTTAGCAGTTCTCCCCAAAAACAAAATGAAACAACAAACATTGTAATGTAAGACAAATGTGAGCGTGAAATCCTGTTGGCATAGCTGCAGAAGGGTGATGGATGCCACCGGCAGGGGAGATTTGCAGTAACAAGTCTTTCCCCTTCTCTCCCATGGCTTTTCTGACTTGTGAGTAATCCCTTTTATCACTTGGAAGCTGTGGGATGGGAGGAAGAAATCTTTCATTACTGAAAATACCCCCCCCCACACACACACACACTTGTAATTTAAGCAGAATTCAAAGTGCTGATGCTTGCTATTAAAATACCTTGAGAGCCACAAGTTAACTGAAATGTTATATTCAACAATTGAGGATCAGAATCACTTTGGCTTTCAGAAGCTAGGCGGGTTCTGATTAGTAAGAGTTACTTATTGCTTTATTCCAGGAGATTTGCCTGTTGCCAAACCTCTCAGTGTCCTGCAGAAAAATAGTATTTCCCTTGGTCTTACAGCGTGGTATCTCAGCTGGGGTTTTTTTGGTTATTTCATTTACATTGCTGAGGTTTAGAAATCTGCTTTGTGTTTTTGTGTTTTTTCCTGAATCTGGTATTAATTTTATATTTATGTTGTAGATCTTTATTTGTATTTGGTAATATTCCAAATTGGGAGTTTTTTGTTAAACTGAAATATGAACAGCAGTCAAGCTGCCTGTTTCATGAGTGCTTTCTCAGCCCAAACACACCTGTTCCTTCTATTGGATTTGGTAGGGTTTTGCTTCAGAGAACTGCAGATACCTGCCTCCTCTATGTGCATATTTATGAAATATGTTGCATGTTACATGGGCTGAGTGGGAGACATGCAACACTGTCTGCAGGGCTCATGATAAGCTGAGGCACCAGACTAAGATGTATCTACCCTTGTCAGGAATAATGACCACATCAGCAGAAGAGAATGGATAGTTCCAATGGCGAAGAGGTGGAGAAACTTCTGAAAGGCAGCTACTGGGAAGCAGTGGTAGCTGCAGGTGACACTGGTGGAGGATTTTTCACAGACAATGGCAGTGACACTCAAGCTAACTTTGGTTAGTACTGCACAGAAGGCAGCAACGGTAAAACACTGCAGAAAGCCCTTCTTATGTTGAAAACCCTATAATGAGACAGTCCAAAATGAAACAAGAGATATAGTGCTGCAAGTGCTGATCAGAAAGCACTTCAGCTACTGGAGAAGGACAAGTACAGATAGCACTGTCACTAATGACACAACTAGATTAAAGCTGAAAGGATGTCTAGTGGCTGACGTGCACAGAATTGAAAGGAAAGTGATGCCACACAACATATGTACAGTTGGACCATAGAACGTGAGAAGTATTAATCAAGATAAACTGGAAGTCATAAAGCAAGAAATAAAATGTTTAAACTTTGCAGTACTTTGTGTAAGTGAATAGAGTAGACTGGAATTGGACATTTTAAACCAGTTACAAAGTGTTTTACTCTGGAAAAATATTCTGATAAAAGTGCCAGTCGTGGTCCAAGAAGCAAAATTTTTCTTGATGACATGATGTGTGTGGCCAGTTGTTCACTTCCAGTAGCCTTGCCTCTCTTCCGGGCCTTCCAAGTTCGTCACCTTCCTACCCAATACCTTGTAGCTACATCCAGTATGCTGAAGCTCTGTCTGGCTCTTATCATTTGTTCTGAGATGGATCAGATGGAAGGGATGATGATCTTTGGGCCTGTTGATTCTTGGCAAGCTCTCTTGTACATCCTGGATCTTTGCACAAGGGAGAGAGCGCAACTTCTGAAACATCCTGCCAGGTCCACAAACAGCTGCCTCTGTCTTCCTCAGTAGGGAGCCACCAATTACCAGAACACATCCTCTTCTCCTTAGAATAATGGCAGGAATTCTTAGATAGGCAATATCCTCCAGTCACCTCCATGTTCTCTGCTGATTGCCGCCCCTCTTCCAGTGCCTCAGAATCACTGCTCAAAGGGAGCTCCTAGGCTTGCAATTGATCCGTCTAGATCAGTATTGTCATTTGATGTAATGTGCAGTACATAAATATGGATGTGTGTCCTAAGGTTGCTCTTAAGATTGTTGACCCTGTTCTAGCAACTCCAAATCATTCTTCATACAGGAGGCCTTGTACCACTTTGGTAGATCTCCAAACAAACAAACAAAATAGTTCCTGTTCTTCCTCCTTATCCGTGTCACATTCCTCCAGGTTCTTCCCTCCTGCATTTGAATTCTTCAGGAGCATGAGCATTCCCATTTGGTTGCCCCTCCAAAAATATCCAGTGAGCTCTGTCCACGAATGCCTTGTCTTCCCTAAAGAGCCAAAGTGTGGAGAGGCAGAATTCAAGCTGCTGAACTTTCTTCCAGCGGAGCAGCCAGGTTGCACTTGCTGCAGTTCTAAAGTTCCACGTCCTCAGGAAGACAAACATGCTACAGGTGTTGCAGGCTGTTGGAAATGCACTTCCAATGTTTATTTCCTTTGGCTCTATGAAGACAGTAAGACATCAAATTTGGCTCCACCTCGAAACATCCATAGTCAATGCCTATGCAAAACACCTGTTCACTCACCCAATTCACTCACTTCTGAACAGAATCTCTCAGGAACTGAGTCCAGCTATAGTTGTAGCTGTATCTTTCTTCCATCTTGAACAAGATATTGTACTTCTCGCATTTTTCCAGGCATGTCTAGGCCATTGGAAGTGTCTTGTTCCACAGAGCCCATAGAGTTATTGCTGCAACACAGAAAACCGCTTTATACTGTGTCAGACGAATTGAGCTGTCTAGGCCAGTGTTGTCATTTGATGTGATGTGCATTGGGCAAATGTGGACATGTGATTGATGTTAAGCATTTTTCATCCAAAGACAAGATAATTTCGGTATATTTACCTAAACCACATTTAAGCTATATATACTTTTCTACTATTAGAATAATGCACAGGAAGGTCTTAGCATACTATGATATCTAATATATTCAGATTAGCAATGTGAGTGGCATCGCTAATGAATTTATATAGCTATATGACTATGATCTATAACAAATTTATATTGTACACTGATCTCTGAATTCATATTGTATTCTTTTGTCCTGGCAGGAAAATGGGAATGCCCTTGGCATCACTGTGATGTATGTGGCAAGCTTTCTGTTTCTTTTTGCCAATTCTGTCCAAACTCTTTTTGCAAGGATCATCAAGATGGGACAGAGCTTGAGACTAATTTAAATGGACAGTTGTTCTGTTCAGATCATATTGGAGAGAACTTTGCTAAAAAGAAAGTGAAAAGGCTGTCTAGAAAAGCAACCACACTGAAGTATAAGAGAAGACAAAGAAACAAATGGAAGAGGGTGGAGTGTAAATAATATTGAACTGCTCCTTCGGCTGCCAGTGCTGTCTTGTAGATAAGTTGTGAATAGGACCAGGGATGGACACATAATTTACCTATATTGTGCAAGTGTTGGGTTTGGGGCAAATCGTTTTTAATCCACTGAGCCAATCATAGCAGGGCATTCTGCTATATCTGCACTGATCATGAACTGGGGGATGCCACGTTCAGACACTTTCAGGATAACTCAAGTTTACTCTTCTGCAATAATGACAACACTTGAACTGTTAGGAATGAAACAATTCTTTCCAATACTTTCCAATAGTTGGAGATGTGTTAATTTTCAACCAATTAAGGTATATGCTCATAGTTTTTGAAATACTAGTCACCACTCAGATGTTTGAATACTACTTAAGAAAGACATGATGAGATCAGTTTAAAAGCTGAAGTATTATGGAGAAAACTGCCTACCTAATTGCATTAACTGAGGTCTCTGTGGACATGGCACTGTTCAGAGGCACAGCTCAGTATAACCACAAGAGAGTCCATGTTTTGCTTTGGACTTTGTTTTTGTTTTGTTTTGTTTTGTTTTATTCTAATAGCATTCTACAGAGGAACAAGAGCATGAGAGAAGAAAGCAACAAACCATATGTTAATCCATGGCAAAAACTGAAGAATCCTGTCTCTTGTTTGCTTCCAATAAGCAAAAAGATACATGACCTGTCTCCATCTAAATTGATACTAAAATACGTGCCCAATTTTTTAGATTGTATTTGCATAATAAAAATGTTTCAAAATCAAATGAAAATAGATTGTTGTGTATTTTTAAGAGCACCTTACCTCCGTGGTATCTATTCTAATACAGTAGATCATTGTGTTTGTTAAAGAGCACTTAATGACTTCCATGATATCTATTCTATCACAATGATGCAGTCTTTAAAATAGCAGATTGATTATTATGAGTGTTCTCTTACAACTGTTGATGCATTTATGTTATAAATTCCTGCCAGTAATTGCCTTACTCGCAAGTAAATTTTCTTACAAATATTTTTAAATTGTACATTACTCCAAGAAAAAAAAGTTACACCAAACACATGGAATATATATTCAAAAGCTATGTATGCCCATTTATTCCAAGTTGTTTCGCTTAAGCTTCTAATCAAACAGCTTCTGGGACTACTTACATATGTCTTCAATCACAAATGCCTCAAAAAGGAGTGCCCATGCCTTGCTCTGTCTCACCTTGGCCAAGGGCCCACCCCAGCCCACGCCAAGGATTGCTTGAGTGAGAGGGAAGGAACAGGGAGGATCCCATCCTCTGCCAGGCCTAGCAGGGCGTTCGTTCTTGCCTGCCTCCCACCTGGTCCTGACATTCTGAACACCTGGCCTGGATCCAAGGAATGGATCTTTACTACCACGAGTTGACCAGTCACCTGCAATTAAGCAAAACAACGGGTACTGATCCAGAGGATATAAAGGTCCTACTGTACACCGGATGTCAGTGGCGTGATGGAGTCCACATGGGATGCAACTCAGTGTTGTAACTGAATGAGGAAGTGCACCTACAGAAGGTAACTGGTAAGTATGAAAGAGGCATTCCCTTTTTTCCCCTGAGGAGGCTGCTGGTTTGGAGGCGGGGTGGCTGCTTGAAACCGAGTAATTCAAGAGGCAGAGCCAAAATCAACTTAGACACTGTTACAGGCAGAGCCATCAGGGGCTATGTCGTAACAAAACCATAGCTGGAAACATGTTAGCAGCTAGTGCATTCCCCATCACATGTACACATCCCATGTCTACAGATTCATGTACAAATTGGTTTGCTGTTCCGCAAAGGCAAACAATTTTGGTCCATAGCTACCCCTCCATGGCAGCTTTTTTAAAAATAAAATGTGAGGTTTTAGAAAAGGTAGCCATGTTAGTCTGTGCTACCATATCAGGCAAAAACAAAGTAAAAATAAAAAATAAAGACAAATACATAGCACTTTAAAGACTAACTGCTATATTTTAATGTGAGCCTTTGTGGACAAGTCCACTTCCTCAGACATATGAGTAGGACTATAGTATATGGCAAATATCTATACCTCTAGTTGTTTAGTCGTTAAGTCGTGTCCGACTCTTCGTGACCCCATGGAAGACAGCACGCCAGGCCCTCCTGTCTTCCACTGCCTTCCGAAGTTGGGTCAAATTCATGTTGGTAGCTTCGGTGACACTGTCCAACCATCTCATCCTCTGCTGTCCCCTTCTCTTGCCTTCACACTTTCCCAACATCAGGGTCTTTTCCATGGCCCCAAATAGACAGGTTACTTACCTGTAACAATAGTTCTTCGAGTGGTACTCTGTAAATTCACACGACTGGGTAGCTGCGCCTGCGCAGGAATCCTCGGAAACTTCTAGAGCTTTAGGAAACAAAAGATTGACAAGACGTTACCCCTATTGTGCATGCTCCGCCCGCCTAAATCCCCAGTTCCATTTTTATCCCCCATCAATGTACTCTGCAGAACAGCAGTGAGAGAGTGACGGATAGTGGGGAGGCAGGGTGAGTATGTGTGAATTCACAGAGTACCACTTGAAGAACTATCGTTACAGGTAAGTAACCTGTCTTTCTTCAACGTGGACTCTGTGAAATCACACAAGAGAGTGACTAGCTCGCTTACCGGATGGAGGGCTGTCACTCTAGCACAGATGTTAAGACAGCTCTCCCAAATGCAGCATCATTCTTGGCCTGGAGGTCCAACCTATAATGCGTGATGAAAGTGGATGCGGTGGACCAGATTGCTGCTTTACAAATCTCCGGGATGTCTACCCCACGCAAGAGAGCCGTGGATGTTGCCACAGCTCTGGTGGAGTGTGCTCTGAGGCCTTGAGGGGGATCTCTGCCTTGCAGCTGATATGTCAGTTCAATGGTGGACACAATCCATTTAGAAAGTGTAGACGGAGATGCTGCAGAGCCTTTCCGCGGACCATAGAAGCAGAGGAATAGTCAAGGAGAAACACGAAAGTCCTTGGTCCTGGTGGTATAGAACACCAGTGCTCTCCTAACATCTAATGAGTGAAGCGTGCGTTCCAACTCAGAAGATGGAGCGGGAAACAACGTAGGTAGAGAAATCGGTTGATTCAGGTGAAAACTTGAGACTACTTTAGGGAGAAAGGACATATCAGGGTAGAGGACCACCTTATCCCTGAAAAATTATAGGTAAGGACTATCATGGCGCAATGCCACCAGTTCACTAGCTCTTCTGGCCGAAGTGATGGCTACCAAGAAGAGCGTCTTAAATGAGAGTAGCTTAATGTCTGCAATAGCCATAGGCTCGAACGGTGGTCTTGTGAGGGCTTTCAGTACTAATCGGAGAGACCACTGTGGTGGAGGAGATCTCGTCGGTGGGCGTAGATTTAAGATTCCCCTGAGAAAGGCCTTCACAGTCGGATGTGAAAACAGCCTGGCCGACTGATTCTCTAGGCTGGAAAGACACTATCGCTGACAAATATACCTTCAGGGTAGAAAGCGACAGGCCCTGATAAAAAATGATGCAAATAAAGCAGCAATGTATGAAGCGACACTGGTCTGGCTTGCAAGTTCCTTGACTCCATGAAGCGCAGGAAATTTTTCCACTTATAAGAATATAAGAGCGTTGTGGATGGCTTTCTTGCCTGAGGACCTCAGGAATTAAGGCTGAATCCTCCAAGCCGTCAGGTGCAGGGATGGCAGATCCGGGTGCAGCACCCGCCCTGCGTTCAGAGACAGAAGGTGCGGGATTGGTGGCAGTGTCACAAAGTCCACTGTCATTCCTCTGAGAGTTGTGAACCATGGCTGTCGCGGCCACCAAGGTGCTACCAGAATGGCATTGGCTCTGTCCTGCTTGATTTTGCACCAGAGGAAACGGAGGGAAGAGATAAAGCAGATGGTGGGCCCAGCTCATCATAAAGGCATCTCCCAGTGACGCCTGTCCTCGCCCTGCACGGGAGCAGTATCTTTCACATTTCCTATTGAGTGATGTGGCGGAGACATCTATCACTGGGGTTCCCCACTTCTGGCAAATCGTGTGAAAAGTTAATGTGTCCAACTCCCATTCGTGGGTCTGTTTGGGTAGCCGACTCAACCAGTCTGCTAGTTTGTTCTCCTCTGTTGATATATGAATTGCAATGGGAAAGACATGTTTGTAGCACCATTCCCAAAAGACCACTGCTAGGTAGAGTAGGGATATGGACCTCGTGCCGCCCTGTCTGTTTATATAGTACATGGTTGTGGTGTTGTCCGTAACTACCTGGACACCACGACCTTGTACCAGCCTCTTGAAGGTGCAGAATGCTTTTATGACAGCCCACATCTCTAAATGATTGATTTATGTGCAGATGACGCTCTTTGGAGGACCAAAGGGAATGTAGGGTGACCTTCGCAGTGGGCTCCCCAGCCTATCGGGCTTGCATCTGTGGTGACTTGAACAGAAAGGCATAGGGGTCAAAAGAGCCGCCCTATGAGATGTGGGAGAGGGACCCACCAGCCGAGTTGTTTTACCAGTTCTCTTGTAACTGGAAGCCGTTTGCGGCTTCGGGTCGAAAAGAGCAAGGAACCAGGCCTGTAAGGATAGCATCTTTAGACGTGCATGAGGCAGTGCTGTGGTGGTAGATGCCATTAAGCCCAGCAGGTGTTGGGCCTGCCATGCCGAAACCGTGCGATGATGTTGGAACACATGTACAGCCTTGCGCAATTTTGTGATGCACTCCGGTGTGAGGAAGACTCTCGCCTTGGTGGAATCCAGTTGTGCCCCTATGTAATTTATCACCTGGGTAGGTACAGTATTAGCTGAGATTTCTTCTGCTTGACCTGGAGTCCCAGATGCTGAAGTGTGTTCAAGACAAACTCCGTGTCGGGGATAGCTTTGTGCTGGGAGGTGGAGACAATCAGCCAGTCGTCTATATATGGCTAAACAGAAATGCCGTTGAGGCGCAGGTAAGCTGCCACCGGTGCCATGCACTTTGTGAAAGTGCGCGGAGCCATGGATAGTCCAAAGGGGAGAGCGCAGAACTGAAAAGCAGAATTTTCGAAGAAAAAACGGAGGTATTTTCTGTAGTGTTGATGAATGGAAATATGAAAATAAGTGTCTTGAAGATCTGTTACTGTGAACCAGTCCCCATGACGTAGCAAATGGATAATTGCCTCCAGAGTCACCGTACAGAAACGCCGAGGGCGGAGGTAAGCATTTAAGTCCTTTAGATCTAAAATGGGTCTGATCCCTCCGTCCTTCTTTGGCACTGTAAAGTACCAGGAGTAAAAGCCTCTCGGAACTGCGTGTGATGATACTCTTTGTATGGCGCCTCTTTTTCTAGGGCTGGTGAGTATGAAGTGTATTCGATGTGACCCAAGGGAGGAATTTCTAGAAATTCTAAACGATAGCCAAACTGTATTATACTTAGTACCCACGTGTCGTTTGTTATGGATTGCCAATTTGGAATGAAGGAGGCTAGCCGAATGGAAGCCGAAGGGCTTGAGTCAAAGATACTGTTTTGACTTTTTTGCAGGTGGGGAAAACAGTAATCGCAGTCAAACAGTCTGAGGTCAGTCCAAGGGGTAACAATCGTAAAGTATCAGTATTCGAACAGCAATAACGTAGTCAGAAATGATCAGTAAGAGGTTCCTTTCACTAGGCGGAAAATGAACTGCAATAACGTAGTCAGAAATGATCAGAATCAGAAAAACCAGATATTCAAACAAAACTGCAGAGCTCTAGTAAGAGGTTCCTTTCACTAGGCGGAAAAAAATGGAACTGGGGATTTAGGCAGGCGGAGCATGCGCAATAGGGGTAATGTCTTGTCAGTCTTTTGTTTCCTAAAACTAGAAGTTTCCAAGGATTACTGCGCAGGCGCAGCTACCCAGTTGTGTGATTTCAGAGTCCACGTTGAAGAACAGAGACTGTATTGGTGCACAAGTTGTTGACCTAGTCTCTAGAGTGCCACAATATTTTTGTCTTCTTTATTTTTATTTTGTTTTTGCTTGATATGTTAGGAGAAACCACCAATTTTCTGTTTAGTGGTACCCATACTTTTATATATCACTGGCTATTACAAACCAGGTTCAACTGAAAAGGGATAAACACAAGCCAGTGGTATAAGCACAGCAACCAAACAGTGCTTATGTTCACATTTGAAATGAGGCAGGATATCAGTTCAGATTTCCTCTCTTACTTCCACTGTACTGTGCATCCCATTTTCTACATTTCACAGAACTCAATACAGACATGTGCATGTTCTTTCACATAATCCTATTCTATGTTTACTGTGGGGTGGCACATGATGTAGTATAAAGCAAACAAGTTAAACATCACTCAGTAGTCTCAGAAAGCTGCAGGAACTATTTTCAGGGCAAATTCCCGTGCATACCTTCTGGATTATTACAAATGTCTATAATAGCCAAAAGATCCCTTTCCCGACTAAGACTGCTCATTTTGAATCATATAGTAAGGGATATATCCAAAAACTACCACAGAAATAAGACATTTTCTGCTTCTGAACTGAAGAGTTCAGAAACTACTTAGATTTGCATAGCTGCAGCAGACTCTTTTTAAAAAGCAAAGAGTACCATTCACTCAAGCCTGCTTATCTACAGTGAGTTCAAAAACAAATGTTCAACTCAGTTGTCCAAATCCTGATAAAACACTGAAGTGATTCACTAATTTGTGGTGCTACTGGAAGAAGGAAAAACGTTTTTAATAGAAAAAATGCTTTATTATACATACTGTATTATGCTGAAAATATGTACTCAAGGACATGAGGTTCAGAATTTACAGCTATACAAAAACAAACTGGATAGAAAACATACGGGTTGCTATGCTATGTATGGAACATTTTACAAAACAACTCAGCTTTTTAAAACCTCCCACAAAATTCTAGAATAAAACAAGATCCACCAGCTCCTGCTTTAAAAAAGTAGCTCAGACGGTGGTATCAAAGTACCTTTGATAAATTTGGCAAATGTCACTTCATGATTCATTGGAGAGCAGTGCTAAGTTGCCAAAAAACTCACTGGCCACCATCAGATCCAACATCCTTCTTCACCTACAAAACAGGAGTAAAGCTGCATTTTCATTAACTTTTAGGTTTTTGCTAAAACCAAGTTATAACCATTGAATTGTGAATATTATCAGTTGTTGATAACTGAAATTAGAATTAGAAAAGCTCCTTGAAAAGGTATTTAGAGTTTTATTAGATTTTCTTCAAGTGTTCCCACCAGATGTAAGTATGAATTGGGCTGAAGTAGCAAAATAATTCCTTTGGATAGAGAACAATGTTTCTCTCTGATTTGCTACAAAGCTCATTTCTGTATGCTTGTCTGGCCTGAATTGTATGCCCTGACATCTTTAATGAGATCACATAGTTCAGCTTGTAACTGCATACTGTATGCTTTCTTCCCCTCAGAGAAAATTCAAATGTTACTTTGAAAACACAGGCATTTTTCCCGATCTTAAATTGTGTGCTGGTAAGACATGTAATTTTTAAATGTAGTGATGCTAATACAAAATGTACTTTACCAATCTGGATCATTTTCATTCCCCAAGAAATTATCAGAAATTAGATTTTTATATTTCCCCCCTTAAAGAACATACTGTAATTTGCAAACTGTACCAAACAAAAAAAGATAAGAGCATTTTACTGAGCTTCCTCCCCTTTATCTTCTGGCTATCAAATGCCCAACTAAGTTATTGTTAAAAGAAGCTTGTTTAAAAAGAGCTGTCCAGCAGAAATGGAAATACAAACTTTCCTGTTTGCCAAGGTATCTCACAACAGCAAGCTTGTGCATCTATGACAAGCCAGAGCCAAGGGACATTCAGCTTTTCAGATGTGTTGGTCAGCAATTTCCATACTCCCTCGTGGGATCAGCTTCTGTGAAGTATAGGCCAAAACGTTCTTCAGAACATGGCCAAACAGCCCGAAAAACCTACAACCACCATCGGATCCCCGCTGTGAAAGCCTTCAAGCATATAGGCCAAAACATCTGCAGGGCCAAAGGATTCCTCCTTACAAGCATTTGGTCATGGTGACCCTACCACATGCTTCGCTCTATTACACCAACCATGTGCCAATAAGCATGCCTACATGTGCACTTTAAATTTATCTGCACATTCTGCAGAAAAAGTGATAACATATAAACTGCTCAAGTGACTTTTCACATTTACTTCCTAAAACATTCTCAAAGCATTGAAGTTCTCCCCTCTTCTGGGATTTTCTAACTATATTTCTTATATTTAATGACAGTGGCATGCAAGACTTCCAAAACACTGGTTGATATCACTTTAATTGTCGCAATCATTCTAAAGAAAACTAAGCATGTTTTAAACAAGGTTGCCAGCTAAAGAACTGCCATTATGTTTTCCCGTTTTCTGGCTCAGAACTAGTCAAAGGAACAGCTAGACATGTTAAAATGAATTATTTAAACCATTTTAAAACAATTATATCTCATTTTAAAACTCATTTCCTTTAACATTTGGACTTAACATTGGACTTAATCACAGGTGAAACTTGTATGCTAGAAAACTAACATAGATCCTTTATCTTGTATACAACTTTCAATGACAAACAAAACACACAGAAAGTATTGCTTTCTTTAAAAGATCCTGTATTAGAAACATAAGTTACAGTTAGGGAATTAAAAAGTTATATAACATTCTTCTGCTTGTATCCTGCCTTCAAACAGCCAATTTCACTGCAAGTATTGCCAAACTAACAAGTATTCCAAAAGAAGTAATGTATTCTCTATTTAACAAATTAAGAGATTTCGCTTAGTAACATCAGGATAAAATGTAAAATTAGGCCTTTTCACTCTTTTTAGGTTATGCTTCTCTCAAATTAGGTACAATCTGGATTTGTTTGGGCATTCTGAGTTTCTAATTATCAAAATGATCTAGCACCAGAACATTTCTGGTTAAATTTCTTTGCTACCATTTTCAGTATGGCTCAGCATAAACTTCTTTCTCATGTCTCACAATAGAATCGCAGAAGGACGTGCGATTCCTTCTTATTCAAATTAGTTCTCACATGTTACACTGCAGTGACTTAGAACTGAAGTTTCGAGCAATTAGAACATTGCTCTAAATATATCCCCCCACTAATAAGAAAGTCTTCTGCAACAATACTTTGAAGTCTCATGGATTTGCAGTAAGGTCACCTCTTGGCCATATTTTCCAACCCTGGGATGACAAATCCATGAAAAGGAATATAGAAATCATTGTCAAATGTACCATTCCATAATAAATCCCTGTCATAGAACCATTCTCTAGCAGTGGGGACGAACATAGGGAAATTAGGAATGAACCATCCCATTGACCATTTTTACTTTCACTCCAACATGGACATAGAAATGAAATTTCTGCCAATTTATTACATCCATATACATTATTTCAGGTGCAGTACTTTTAAAAAGCTTCTCAGACTAGTTGTTACCCTGAAGTACCAGCTATAAAGAACTTGGGACTGACTAATTTAAATAATATGTAATAGTAAAGGATTCCATATAAATCATATTTTGACACTAAAAATTAGCAATGTTGGTGTCAACCAGAATATTTAATATTTTGATATTTGGGCTACCTTATGCTTTTATATAAACATATAAAAGTGCAGCCCACTGTTGTACTAATGCATATAATACAGTATGCACATTAAGGGTGGGCTATGGCTTCCTCCCACTTGGTGGAAAACGCACCGTTGATAATGGGTAATTATATGGTGGGCATCTCTAATTCCTTTATGTATGCCAAAAAAACAAACCCAGGGAATACTATTCATTCTTTCACAATGCTTGGTAAAATGGCTGCAGTGTTACATAAAATCACTTGCAGTCAGTTACAGAAGAAAAAAAACTGCAAATATAACAGTACCTAGAAAATACACAGAATCTAGAAAGTCAATGGAATACCACTGCCATGAAATCTGTCCTCAATACAATTTCTCAATGAGCTGGAAACAAATCTCTTTCTCCTACAGGAAGGCCTGTTTTGCTCTGAAAACTCAGGTGTCTTGAATCATTGTATCCTCCTTCCATTTAATAAAAATACAAGCATTGCCACTTTATCCTGTCCTTCTGCTACTTCAATCCATCACAGGTTGTATGCTTGATGATTACAATGAGGTCTACACAGGAATGTCATTCTGCCTAATTGACACACAATATACAAGCTGGCTTATTCTATGATCCATTTGGTCTACACTTTCCCCCCACTGACCTGTTTAGGAAACATTTGTTATTGGTTTGTATTTCTTTAGTCTGGTCCACTGGCCAGTAGCATAGTTCATTTCAAAGACTGTGTCAACTAGCATAGTGGTGCTTCCTGTTTCATCCGCTTTTGGCAGTACTTCTGTATGTTCACTCAGTTTGATCTGGATTATGTCACCCTGTTCTTGACATGGATTTTCTGTGGAAGCAAAAGGTATACATTTAAATGTCGTATTTGTCTGGGGAGCTTAGCAAAGGCAGAGAAACAATCTAGGAAGAAGGCTATGCAGAGAACATTTCACTACCCTGCACCATCAATGTCTTCTCATAACATCCACCCTATAAGCAAACTTCATAGACCAGTCATCCCAAGGGTGGACCACTCACAATCCTCAGTATCACATGTGGCCCTCTGACTAATTTCAAAAGCCCCCTGCAAGTGATCAGCTCAGATCTCTGCAACAGCAATGTCCCTTCTTTAGCAGTCCACCAGGTAAGGGAGAAGAGAAAAGGCAGATGGAGGACATAGGGAGACAGGCAGTGAGGGCTTATCTACTTCTGTCCCGTCCACCTTCAGCATGCAAGTTCAAAATATTATCCATGAAAGACTGTGGCCTTTGACATGAAAAAAGACTGCCCCTTTCTTGATATAGGAATAACTCTCTGTTCAACACAGGGCATCAAGGGCTAGAGCATGCCTAAGAGATGGCAGGCTCTAGCAGTGATAGCCAACATTACCTGACTAGATAATTAATTCCATTGTTTAACTGGCCTTACAATTGAGAACTGTCCCGTGATGTTCAATTTAAATTTATCCTTCTAGATTAACCACATTAGAACTCTCTACCCTCTGAAGCTGTGAAGAACAAGACTGCTTACTTGTAATGTTTACTCCTCCAGTGGTCATCTGCATGTTCACACATGTGAGTCTATACCTGCATGGAGTCACCAATCAGAGTTGTCTAGATGGAGTAGTGCTATTAATCCCACCCCTATGATTTACAGCACACCCATCCTCTGGCTGTCTTTGGCTCAAACATTTTGGATGACATGTAAACAAAAGGCTCTGAAAGGCAGCCAGATAGGCACCTACACTCACTGAAGCAGAGCTGAAAGAACAGCATTCCAAAGAGAAGCATCCTTCTGATATGTGGCATTGAGATGGGAACACTGGATGAAGGTCGACGTTGGGACCAAGTCACTGCACCACACAGCTCAAGTAGGGAGATTCCTTGTAAGTGGTCAAAAGAGGAGGCTCTTGCCCTGGTGGAGTGACTTCTGCGGAGCAGCTGGTAACAGACTCTCAGGAAGCTTTTAAGGCCATATAATAGCCTTCAAGAGCCACTTGGCAAAGCGTTGGCAGTTCCAGTGTTACAAAGGATGACTGTGTGGATGCCGGGGTAGATACGGTTAGTCCACAGACACGGCACATTATGTAATGGCCACAGTGAAGGCTACTTTGGCTGTTTGCAGGCCCAAAGAGGCTGTGGCCAATAGCTGGAAAGGAGGCTTAATAAATCGTGGAAAGACTAAGGACAGACCCCAAGGATTGGGTACTGGTGTGTCTTGTATAAGAACATCTGGGAGTGTGAACAGCAAAAAATGTTGCATGAAACACAGTGTTACCCTGCTTCCCTGAAAATAGGACTTAATCTGAAAATAAGCCCTAGTATGATTTTTCAGGATGCCTGTGATATAAGCCCTACCCCCAAAAAAGCCCCAGTTAAGTGAACCCCCACCCTCCATTGTGCAGCAACCAGAAGAAAATGGCATAACTGTATTTGAATAAATGTAGATTGTTGTACATTTTTTAAAAAATCCCTGAAAATAAGCTCCAGTGTGTTTTTCGGAGCAAAAATTAATATAAGACTCTGTCATATTTTGGGGGAAACACGGTAGATGGGATGATGATGCAGCTAAATAAAATTTTTAACAAGTGAAAAATGATGAAGATCTATAAAACAGGCATAGCAGGAACTTCAGAGAAGGAAACAATTGTCTAGTCAAAGACATGATCAATGGCAAAAGAGCAAAAGGTCTGTCAATTATAGTAGAAAACATGCTTGTTTTCTTGCACAAGCATGTCTGTGGCCACTCATACTATGAGTTTGAGTGTGGAGATGTCAGAATAAAGAATCGTTTCTGAATGACTGGAGATTACATCCCATCAGAGAAGCAGTCCACAGAACATCTAATGACAGAAACTGACAAGGGGAGGAACCAGGGTTGGCTTGGCCACAGTGGAGCTTTAAAAGTGGCATGACCATTTCCAATAATGATTGACAATGTCCCTAGCAAGCGAGGAAAGTGTGGGAACATAGACCACCTTTCCCCATGACAGAGAGGAGAGCATCCCTCTTGAGCCATATCCTGTCACCTGCTTGACTGCATTATTTTGTGTAAATATATGGTTTGATTTTGAGGTAAACACATTGATTTGAGGTTATTCCTACATGACAAAAAGCCTTTTGAATATATAAGGTTGGTGTTAGGGCCACAGGCCCTGAGAGAGAGAAGACAAATAACTGGAAAAGAAAAATAAGTCTTAAAGAGAGAGAGAGAGAGAGAGGAAGAGAGAGAAAAGCAAGAGAGAGAGGAAGAAGAGAGAAAGAAAGAAAAAAGAAAGGAAAAAAAATAAAGAGAAAAAGAAAGAAAATATTATATTAATCAAATCTAATGTGATAAAGAAAATAAACCACTCAAAATCATGACATCCCCCTTGAAGGTGTTGTTCTACTTGTGGCTACTACAACTGGACTAGCAGAACTGAGGAACAGCCCACTGTTTCATATGGGGTCGACTGGAGGGGCAGGGCTCCCACCCAATCCCTCTCCATCTAGAAGGTTCAAAATGGTGACTGCAGAAGCATGGGCCCACACATGATCATCTACAGAGCCTATGAAGAAAAACAAGTCTTTGCCCTCTTCTGTATGACCTTCCGACTGTTCAAAATGAATAGCATTCAAAATCTGCGAAGATTGCCATGTGTTTCAGTTTTTGCATACATTCAGTTTTTACAGAGAAAACAGTGCTAAAGAGGTGATGCAAAAGGAGAGCTTATGCTCTTCTTGTCTCCCCTCACTGTGTAGAACAGCTACGTTTTATTTGCAGCTGAAGTTCTTACTCCAGCCAGGCAAAACAGTTACCTACCTCTGATTTTCTAAGCAAAAAAAATAATTCTTAATACATGCCTCTAGATCCTGCCATGAATCCAAGGATAAGTGCCTTCTCTGGCCTTGTAACTTTGTTTGCTGTCTTAAACATTTCTTGTGCTGCATACATTTGTTCCCTCTACAAGAGATAATCAAAAAATGGTATTTCAGCAAATATTTCAAGAAATAAACTTTGTATGATAACAATACTTACAATGTATTCTACATTGATATATTCCATTATCCTTGTTATATAATTAAAAACCACCAGCAGCAAAAGTACCTTAAAACACCCCTTAAGAGTTTTTGTAATCAAGATCAATATTTTGTATATTTTTGACTCTAGATGACCTTTCTTCAAAGACATATAGCAACATTCTTCTTACATTTTTTGCTAATTAAATTTTTTGGGCATTTAATTTGTTCTTTAAAATAAGATAAAGCAGAAAGTACTAGTTTTCTTCAATACTCTCCTATTCAATTCATGGAATAAAACACAAAATGTAACACAGATAAGAAAGCAGCAAGCAAGACACCTCTTCCGATCGATCAATCAGTCAATCAATTTGAACATTGTAGTACTTTTCAACCATCTGAATATTATGCTGCCACAAGACCATCAGCTATTGGGGAGAATTCACGATAAGCTGTCTCTAGTATATTAAGAGGGCTCCATCACCTTGATAGCTTTGGAGATAAGTCTGAGCAGACAGAACAAAATGTGACAATATCCATATTAGCAAAGCAAATGATACAGTAGCTGTTCATGCATGCAAAACCTGAAGGCTAATTAAGCCACTAGTAGCCTACTAAGCAAAACTGGCAGGCTATGTTTGCTACAGTGGGTCAAAATTGTCCAAGCTTGGTGCAAATTAATTATATTATGAATTTGGAATGGGTCCAAATAAAGAAAACACTCTGAATGAGCTAAAAGATTAATAATGTAAGTTTCCTAAACGGTAACTTGCTTGTTCAGTAGTAACTGTATCCTGTTATCTCAAAAAAAAAAAAAAAAGTTAAGACTCACAAATGTCTGGCCACTTCTGAATTAGCAGCATATCAGTATGGCAGTTATCTACAATATTTCATGAAGTCATGGCTTACTGTGAGCGAGAGGTTTTTCTTGGGTGGTGCTTGCTGAAGAGCAGCCTGTGGCACCTGTGCTGCGGGAGTGGCAGCTGGCGGAGTCACAGGAGAGGTAGGTGTTGTTGCACCTGCATTTGTGTTACTGTTGTACATGGGCGTCCTTTGCTTAAATTGAGTCGTGACAGCTGTCGTTGGGGGTGCAGCAGATTCCTCTTTAGCTTGCAAGGGTTCCCGAACAGATCCAGCTGTTTGGTGCAAGAGACCTCATTAAGAATAGATAATCAGCATGGGAAGTTGTTCATATGTCAGCCTGCAATTATCAATTTTAACACATTTCTTCCTTTTCCCAAATTCGTGAGAATACTATATTACATTGTAAAGGGACATTAGTTACAACCAGCTATGAAATCAACCACCCTTCCACATGACAACCATCATGTACAGTGGTGCCTCGCTTGACGACGATAATGCGTTCCATTAAAATTGCTGTTAAGCGAAATCGCCGTCAAACGAAATTACAAAACCCACTGAAATGCATTGAAAACCGTTCAATGTGTTCCAATGGGCGAAATCCCTCATTGTGCAGCAAAGATCCGCCATAGGACGGCCATTTTCTCGTGCCTGTATAGCGAGCAATTCATCCTTAACACAGCGGGGAGCCATTTTGCACAGCAGGCAGCCATTTTGAAACCCGACGATCAGCTGTTTTTAGATTGTCGTAATGCGAAGAATTGGTTCCCGAAGCAGGGAACTGATCATCGTGAAGCGAATTTTCCCCATAGGAACATCATTTTGCGATCGCAAAAAACCATTGTAAAGTGGTTATTCATTGTTTAACAAGGTAATCATTAAGCGAGGCACCACTGTATTTACCCACCTGTTCACTTTGCTTTTCCCTCCCTCCCTCCCTTGGCTCATTGGCCCAGTGCAGCCACCCAGCTGCTTAGGAAATCGTTCACAAATCTGGAATCCCACATCCATGAGTATTCAACATGAAATCAAACCTTTATATGCCGGGGATTAAATGGCATCTTTTTTGCAAAGACATCACATTGCTTAGGTTTTTTAACCAAAGAAGAGAAACACATCCTTTGCTGCTTATGAGCCAGGATAAACCGCTCTTCCATTATCAATTTGTTACAATTATTGTAGAAGCTAACACAATGAATCTTATGTGGAAAGATCCAACAAGCTGTACCAGATGCCGAACAGTCAGAAAGGATTCGAGAGCCCATGCAAAATATGACACAGGAGCATGTCACTTACCTGGTTGTGGGTCAGAATTTGGAGCGTAGGAAGAGGATGGCATAACACTAGGTGCCGCAGGCAGGTAACTGGTAGAAGCCAGGGCAGGGTCACTATTCAAAGAGGCAAGTTTCTGTAAACCAGCACATAAAAAACTGGTTAGTTCCAAGGTATCATAAAAATCTTGTGATGTCAGAAAACAGCCCTGAATATACCTGGTCTGGAAATGACTGGGGCAGAGGAACTAGAGACCAAATTGCTACCATTCGCTGGATTACAGAGAAAGCCAGAGAGTTCCAGAAAAACCTCTACTTCTGCTTCATTGACTATGCAAAAGCCTTTGACTGTGTGGTCCACACCAAACTATGGCAAGTCCTTAAAGAAATGGGAGTGCCTGACCACCTTATCCATCTCCTGAGAAACCTATATGTGGGACAGGAAGCAACAGTTAGAACTGGATATGGAACAACGGATTGGTTCAAAATTGGGAAAGGAGTACGACAAGGCTGTATATTGTCCCCCGGCTTATTTAACTTATATGCAGAATACATCATGCCGAAGGCTGGACTGGAGGAATCCCAAACCGGAATTAAGATTGCCGGAAGAAATATCAACAACCTCCGATATGCAGATGATACCACTCTGATGGCAGAAAGTGAGGAGGAATTAAAGAACCTTGTAATGAGGGTGAAAGAGGAGAGTGCAAAAAACGGTCTAAAACTCAACATCAAAAAAACAAAACAAAACAAAACACCCAAGATCATGGCCACTGGTCCCATCACCTCCTGGCAAATAGAAGGGGAAGATATGGAGGCAGTGACAAGCTTTACTTTCTTGGGCTCCATGATCACTGCAGATGGAGACAGCACCCACAAAATTAAAAGACACCTGCTTTTTGGGAGGAAAGTGATGACAAACCTTGACAGAATCTTAAAAAGCAGAGACATCACCTTGCCAACAAAAGTCCGAATAGTCAAAGCTATGGTTTTTCCTGTCATGATGTATGGAAGTGAGAGCTGGACCATAAAGAAAGCTGACCGCTGAAGAATTGATGCCTTTGAATTGTGGTGCTGGAGGAGGCTCTTGAGAGTCCCCTGGACTGCACAGAGAACAAACCTATCAATTCTAAAGGAAATCAACCCTGAGTGCTCACTGGAAGGACAGATCCTGAAGCTGAGGCTCCAGTACTTTGGCCATCTCATGAGAAGAGAAGACTCCTTGGAAAAGACCTTGATGTTAGGAAAGTGTGACGGCAAAAGGAGAAGGGGACGACAGAGGATGAGATGGCTGGACAGTGTCTGCGAAGCAACCAACATGAAATTGACACAATTACAGGAGGCAGTGGAAGATAGGAGGGCCTGGCGTGCTCTGGTCCATGGGGTCACGAAGAGTCGGACACGACTAAACGACTAAACAACGACAACGGAAATGACTTCAGCTCCTCTTCCATGCATGGGTAGAGTGGAGCCACAGTAAAATACTTATTATTGGCTCCTGCAGATCATCTGTAGTGACTACATAACTGACTTCCATAACACAAGATCTACTACCCGAGGCACACTATTTTAGACTGGGGATGACAGAGCACGCATGCATACACACACACACACACACACAGAGGGGGAGCCGTTAAGGTAGAGAGTAAGGGGAAGGGAGGACTTTCACTACTGTGGACCAATCTTATGTGTTTTCTCTTGATTGGCATAAAAGATAGGCAGGCTAAGAGAAAAGAGGGCTCTCTGTGAGCAGAAAGTAGGGAGAGGAGGAGGATGGAAGGTCATATTTGTGTAATGCAGCTTGTTTCACTGCTTTAATGCAGCCCACGATCACATACAACACCAAATACCAGGTAAGTACAGACATAGAAGACCATCTCTAAACCCTTACTTCTGCTGTAGGTCTGAATGTGCTCCTCCAAATTTTTAAAAAAATATTATTTAAAATAAAATAAATATATTTAAATACATAAATATAATTAAATACATATTTTTAAAATAAATTCTACCATAATAAATAGTTTTTATTATACAAATGTTTCTTAGTGTGTTCCTTTCATACCCATAGTTGGAAATTCCAGTGAGGACCTCTAATGTCCATTAAGAGATATGTGGGCATCTTAAGCAGCTTAATACTGACTCCACAGTGCATTTCATAGACAAAGGATCAATGTCACATTTAGTGGGCATAATATTTTATTTAGCTATGTGATAAGTAATTGAGAGGGCTCAATGTTTGAAGGATCACCACAGAAGTAGGTATGTGTCATTCTAAAATCATTCTTGAAAGTAACATCAGAGAAAAGCTCAGATTTCAGCTAATAGGAAGGAAAGAGGGTAGGTGAAAAGGTCAGAGATGTCTGCAAAATTCTGTGTCAAGAAGTGAAATTTTGTGTATACAGTGTGTTAAATTAATTAAGGGGGTACAGACACGTAACCCTGAAAATGAAAATGCTTTTAAAGTTGAGACTTGAATAATAGTTTACTATAGCCATCACAAATCAATTAGCCCACTCTCCAGCTGAGCAAAGTCACTGAACTACAACAATCCTGATAGCTGAACTGCTTCTGTTGCAATGTGTAAATATGGAGGTGGTATTTGCAGGTCCTATAGCTACAATAGTCTGGTGTTCTAGGACCTTGTAATTACAGTATCTTGGAGCAAGCTCTGCAAAATTTTAGTCAAATCAATTATGTTGCTCTCATAGTGGCAGACTGCCAGGTTTTACAGACACTTGGAGTTACAATATGTGCAGGAACAATAGAATTTCCCACTGAAATTTTTTCTTGGCTCTCTGGACCCCTGGAAAAGAGAATGTTTACAGACTGGGGGAAGGTGTGAACTTCTGAATGAATTATTTATATTTATATTTACATTTATTTAAATATAAATATAGACAAGACACACACAGAGGAATTCATTGTATCATTGCAGGTCCATGCATGGCACTTTGGCCACCAGACACCACAGAGGAAAAAAATCTAAAAGCGCAGCAGCAGGCTTCATTTCCAAAAGCCAGCAATAACAATCATAATGGATTTTTCCTCCATAGATTTAAATTGGTTTGGCTGGGTAAGAACTGAGAATAATTTTCATGTGTCTAGATCTGCCAAGAGGCTATATAATGTATTTTACTTTAATAGTTTTTAAAATGTAACAGTTTTAATATTTTAATTTATGTATTCTCTGCCTTTTTTATTGTGCTTTTTAGGCTATAAGCTCCTGTATTTTTAGAATGTAACTGCAACATTCTCGTTCTTGTTTACTCTTAAAAGATATTTCTACTGTATTTTGGATGGATTTCTGACTTAAGTACTTGCCTGCAACTTTAGTTTCATTCATTCATCAGGAGAGGCCTTTTTCTCAGTCCTGCCACCTTCACAGGTGTGTCTGATGGGGACACAGGAAAGGGCCTTCTCTTTTGCTGCTCCCAGACTTTGAAACTCCCTTCCACAGGAGGCCAAACTGGCCCCATTTTTGCTGTTCTTCCACAAGCAAGTACAGTGGTGCCTCACAAGACGACAACCTCACTAAACGATGAATCCGCATAACAATGACTTTTTGTGATCGCTATAGCGATTTGCAAAACAGTCATTCCAATGGGGGATTTTTACAGCTGATCGTTGGCTTAGCAAAATGGCTGCGCTGTGTTTTCCGGACCCATGCTTCGCAGGACAGCCATTTTTACAGCTGATCGGCGCTCACAAAATGGCTTCCCAATGGGCGATCGTCGCTGGACGACAAGGTATTTTCCGCATTGGAATGCATTAAACGGTTTTCAATGCATTCCAACGGGGAAACGGATTTTGCATGACGACAATTTTGCTAAACAGGGATTTCAGTGGGACAGATTATCGTCACCATGCAGGGCACCACTGTAAAGACCTTTCTCTTCAGGCAAGCCTTCCCTCAGTAACTCGCTATGGTGTGTGATGTTTAGATAGAATGTTATACATTACTGCTTTGACTGGATTTTTTTTACTACTAGTGTTTTCCATTTTTGTGGAATGGACTTCATAATGACTTTTTTAATACTTATTGATTTTTGCCTTACTATTGCCTGTTAATGTTCTAAGATGCCTCCTTATTCATTGTTTGTAGTTTTAAATATTTTCTTTTCATAATGTTAACCACCACTGTATACTCAGTTTTCAACTTTAAATATTGTCTTCCATTGCTTCAGTCCTTTTCAAGGAGGGGTAAAATATTTTAAATAAATAAATAAACCCATTCTGGAATTAACCCTTTTTGAGATAAATGCCAAACACAGGCTTCTGATTTTTCCCTGGAGAGCTAGAAAATTCTGTAGGAGTCTTGGGGACATGTTCAGGGTCAGAATCTCTGACCTGATATTTGCATATCTTTCTTTCATCCCATACTTTGATAACAGGTACACAATTTTTAAGCATTGTTAAAAAGTAATTTGTACGCAAACCTACACTTAATACAGTTTTACTATGTAAAAAAGTATTTTTCAGGTTTCCAAAGCCAAGATATACAGTACTTTATTGACTTCTGGCTACTCTTAAACATTATTTATTAAGTTTCATTGTTACATATTTCCTAGTGTTTTGCAACAATGTTTACAAATCTGTTATAAACAGCTTTGAATATTCTGAATAGAAAAGCTTCATAGATAAACAGTAAATGAATATGCACTATTTAAAATCTGTAACATGATGTTTCATCCACTATCCTACAAGAAATTACAAATATACTGTACTGTGACTTCTTAATTACCCGTATTTTTCGCTCCATAAGACGCACCTTTCCATAAGACGCACCAATTTTTTAGGAGAAGAAAACAGGAAAATATAATCTGTTTTATTCGCTCCATAAGACGCACAGACTTTCCACACCCCTGTTTTGTGGGGAAAAAGTGAGTCTTATGGTGCAAAAAATACAGTAACTTTTGTTCTGTAAGAGAAGCTGAGGGGCAGGCATCTGCAAAGAATTCTATGCGGAGCTGTCAAGGTCTTGAAAGCAGCTGGGGTGTGTTCATAGTTAAAACTAGAGCACCACCTCCACATGTTCCTTGAGAAATTCAATCTGATCATGGTGACACAAGCCTTGCTAAATCCCATATGGATTAGTGAAACATTCTATGTGGGGTTGCCTTCGGAAAGGATTTGGAGACCCCAGCATGCCTAAGATGCTCTAGCTCAGAGATGGTGAACTTTTTTGAGCCCAAGTACCCACATTGCATAGATCGAGTCCAGCTCCTGTCCAGGGGGCCAACCCCCCCAATCTTTGGCTTTGCAACCAGACACCTCAACCCCTGAGCTATCCAATCAGCGGGCATCCTCCAGGCCAATCCGTCTTCTGGAAGGCAGCCAGGGGGCAGCTTTTCCCCCTCCCCAAATACAGACAGGGCCCTCGCCTGGGCTTTCTGCACTATGCTCCGCCCTGCTTGCTCGCTCTCCTACAGCGCTGGAGCCATAGTCAATAAGCAGCTGCACTGCATGCCGAGGGGTGGTCGGGTGTGGCTCTTCCTTCGCCTCCGCCTTCTGCGGATGCTGCCACTGCCCAATTGCCACTCACGGGCTCCCTGAGGTGGCGGCATGAGCTCAAGCTGAGCCCTGGCAGCAAGTGCCACCACTCCCCACAGCAGGCTGGCATGGGCAGCGGCACGCATGCCATAGGTTCACCATCACTGCTCTAGCTGAACTACCACTGGTAATGGAAAACAGAAAACTCTTGTTACAACAGCTTAATGAACTACCAGTCTGCTTCCAGACACAATTCACAGTGAATTGGAAATGGTAGGTGTGCATGTAGGGGAAGATAGCCATTAGACAGAACACCACCATGGTTAAAAGAGAGAGAGAGAGATTCCAGAGTTCCATTTCCTAGAACTTACATCCACTAACCTAGACTCTTTCTTTATTCATATCAGAGTATTACACAACTTACAATTATGGATATATATGAAATACAGATAACCATCTAACAAATTTAAAATGTTAAGATGATTAGACTATGTATTTTTGAGCAGAAAGGGAGTGGTACCTCAATAGTCTTATCTTGGCCATTTACTAGAACGACTTTAGTGCATGTGGTGGGGCATAAATTGCATGCACGTAAATGCTGCAATGATTGAATTTCTCCACATTCACCAACAATTTGTCCTGCATATAAGTAGCCCCATTTTACTTAATTATTCTTTGATCTTCCTACTGCCCTGAGGTCTATTAAGTGACTTTCAGATGGTCCAGCCAGAGTCATGTCCTGATGGGAGACACTCTTCAGTATTTATCCATCCTGCAAAGTGTGTTGTTTTTGTCCACCATAGGTTTAGCCTAGCCTTTTCTGGTTTAATATTTAGAGTTTCAGATGTGTGCAGAAAATGTTCCCTCAATTCTAGCCATTGTCTAGGGCAGGGGTCTCCAAACTCCAGCCCGCGTTGCCATTTTGTCCAGCCCATTCCCTTCAGCCCGTGTGCACACGTGCGTGGGGGCCCCCTGTATGTGGGGATACGTGCATGCACATGGGGGTGCAGAAGGGCAGGAATCCATGCATGTGTGAGGGGGCGGGGTGTGCATGCATGCATGGGGCATGCATGTGTGTGCAAGCGTACGGCCACTTGTACACGTGCATGCACACATATTCCTGTTCCTTTGGCCCTCAAAAACTTTGAAAATATCTGGTGTGGCCCTCACTGTAAAAAGTTTGGAGACGTCTGATCTAGGGCATTGGTGTCCATGAAGTGACTGTGCTTGGTGTTCTGTCACCTTATTTCATTATAATCCAGATAATCATGGCTAATTTTAGTGTACACAACTGTCTGTTGCTACTATATCCTAACCTTCTTGCACATGCCCAAAGTATGCATGCTGTTCATAGTCTCCACACAGAAAATAAGGCTTATTTGGGGGTTAATTCTCCTTTTCTGTAGTGAGAGTTTCACCCAGGTTTAAATATTAGCTTAGATTAAGAACACCTGTGAGTTGAACTCCAGTCAGGATGCTTCTGAGGAAGAAATGATTCCTCTTTCTACTGAAGTCCCCTGAAAAGCTCTTTAGAAGTGCTAGGCAACCTTCCTGAACACTGCAAGTAACAGTGCAGAGAAAATGGGAGTTTCAGCAACAAATACCCCATCAACACATACTCCAACTTTTTTTTCAAAAGAAACCACTACTTGATCCCAGGCCTTCTGGAAATAGGAGGCTATTAATAGAAAGGATGCTGTGCAGCCCTTTAATTCCCCTGCTGCTGCAACATCTGGGAATAGTTAGAATTATTCACCAGGGACTGGAAGGTATTCTGTACTTCCTGATAGGCAGATATTGCTTCTCACGGAAATGTTACACCAAAAAAATGATCAAAAAGGGGCTGAGAATTTATACATATTTTTGTCTCTCAACCTCACCCTCATTCTTTCTCCCTCAAAACAAACAAATAAACAAAAAAAATGAATGCAGGAATTTCAGGGCAGAGTTATCAGTGTGAAACCGGGGGCGAGAGAAAGGAGTCTCTCAATGGAGTGCCGTCTCTCCCACAGACTATTGAGAGGGAAAGCCAGAGCTCGCCCACCCCCGCTCACTGCAGAAGAGAAGAACGGGGTACTGACACCCAGGACTTGGAGAAGGAATTGCGTGGGTTAACGATAGACGTTCAAACAGAGGATTTGTTGGGAATAGGAAGAACAAAGCAGGTGGAGATTGAGGCAAGGACAGCAGAGATAAAAAAGGGGAGAAAGCCCATTGCCACCAAGTTGGGAATGGGTGTGGTTGCAGGACCCAAGGACTGGAGAATGGGAGCATCTGCGGGTACCTAAAGAGGAAGCCAATTACCGGCGCAGGAGAGAGATTCCCCCTCAACCATCCTATTGGGGTGAGGCCAAAGCCTGGGAGTGGTGAAGGAGGTTGAGGGAGGAAAAGGAGAAGGGGCAAAGAGAAAAGAGAGAGATTGACCTGGAGGGTAGAGGAGATGAGAAGGAGAGGCTTCCCGGAGGAAGCTAGGCGACCTTTTTCCCAACAAGAGATGCCGGGTAGATCTACCCCACCGATGACGAGGCCATTCCTCTACTGGAAAGAGAGGTCAGAGAGGTTTTGAAGGAATATGCGACAACTGGGTGGCCAAGCCTGTGGAACAGCAACGATACCAATCCCTTTTTGAAAGACGCTTGGGTACCCCTGTCTGACCTGTTGGCAACAGGTGACAAGTTATCGAACAATTGTTTGGGCACTGATTTCTTGTTGAACACTCTAATAAACCTTGCCCTGATTCAAAGTTAAAAAAGACTCCTGAATTAGTTATGGAGACCGAATGTTTAAAATTCAAACCCTCACAATCAGCTCTAGACAAATAGAATAATAATGATTTTACAATAATGGTGCAATAATGTAACATTAATGTAAAATAAAATCCTACCTGAGTAGAAACAAGACCAGCAGCATAATCTGGAGTAGCATTTTCTAAAACTGTTTCTTCCTTTGTTTGCTTTTCTACCACTTCTGTATCTATTCAAGGAAAATACAAATGAAGCCATGATGATTACTTAACATTGCTATTTCATTTTGCCAGTAATGTACATGACTGTATACAAACAAAATAGTTATAACTTTACTTCTGCCCAATACAAGACCCTTCTCATAAATTCCTCTTCGCTAATTAAAAAAAAAGATTTTCTTTATGCAGAAGGAAGAATTGTTTGTTGGTAATAGTTTAAACACCTGCATTGAACAATGTACGTTTTTGAGATTACAGTATCTCCATGCTACTGCAACATACTTCTTCTTGAAAGTCTATGAACATATGCAATATCTGAAATTGTTTGCCCTCACAAGCTTGTCAGATGCAATTACCATTGCAAACTTATCAGAAGCAATTTGTCCCTTGTAACATCACATTAGCTTTATTCAGAAGTAGCACATAAAAACAAAGAGAAATATTTGGCCTTTGTGATGGGTTTAGTTTGTTGATAAAGTACAGGGGTTTAAAGGTGATGACATACTAACCTACAGTCTTCCTTCTTCTTTTTGCTTCTCGGCCAGCACCAATCATATTAAGCTCTGAGATGTTGAGTAACTACAGATATACAAAAGTGAATGTTATTTCCACATGTATTATGGAGTTAATTAGCCTCATGTTCAATGCATGAATTGAATTACTTGTTTTCATGAATTCCAAATGTGCACAGAGAGCCTGTTCTATTAAGGCAGGTTTACACGTTAAAAATTACACTGGCATGAATCAATTTACAATTTGTGCCTGCACTGTACCTCATAATACTCAAGAGTACCCTATATCTTTTGAAACCCATCTACGTAAGAAAGAACCACAACTGATAACAAAAGGCACCTGTTAAGTCATCAACATCAACATTTTCTAGAAAATCAGGTTTTTCATACTACTGTGAAGGTAATATATTTTATAAAACCAAGGTACTGATGGGACTCTGCAGTCATTTTAATGGACTGAGAAGACCTTCATGCAACAACAGTACGTGTCATACTCTTATCTCTTCCAGTAAAATTCCTGCCTATTGTGACAGAAGGCAGCACAATCCTGTTTGGGCACTTGCAATTTGGTGACAGTGGATGTACAAGCCAACCAAATACTTCCTCTCACCGCTCAAAACAACAGTAATGACCCTCCATATCCACTATCCGTAATGTGCCACTGCTTTCTACACATCTTAAAAGGAAAGCTACTGCAGGGTTATACACACATCAGGAAGTACTGGACAAAAACAAGATGAAAAGAAAAATACCTAAAGAAAGGCGAAAAGGAAGAAACTAGGAAACAAAGACAGGATAATCAGAGTACTAACTGAACTCAGTTGCAATATGTGAGATCTATTGGGCATCATAGTGGGACACAAGGATCTATATTATAGCTTTAGAACGTTCCAAATATGCACTACATAGGCTTTTTCCATATTGACCCCTTCACAGAGACATGAAAAACAAGTGAATGATTAAAAAGAAATGCAGTCAAAAACCACATTAAACCATGAAATATTATGAAGCATCTTTCACTTTATCCAAAACATCAATTTTTTGAAGTCCATGAAGCCTAAAAGTGAACAGAATCAGACATTTTTAGACAATATTTAGAGAAACAAGGCTATGCCAGTTTTTCAAGGATGTGTTACTGAAATGGAATGGGAAATAAAAAAAAATACAGTAGTGCCTCGCTTAGCGAGCGCTCCGTTTAGCGATGAAATCGCTTTGTGACTAACTTTGCGATATTCCGTATGGGGTATTTTCGCTTTGCGATGATCGGTCATTTTCGCACAGCTGATCGGCAATTTCAAAATGGCCGCCGGGAAAAAAACATGGGCGCCCGCTGTTTTCTGGGATGGATTCCTCACTTAACAGGCAGCAAAAATGGGTGCGCTATGGAGGATCTTCGCTGAACGTTGAGTTTGAAGCCCCTAGGAACGCATTAATCGTGTTTTAATGCGTTTCCATGGGCTTTTTTATTTCGCATTGTAACGTTTTCGTTCAACAGCAATTTCGCTGGAACGAATTAACGTCGCAATGCGAGGCACCACTGTATGAGTATGGCATAATAAGTGCCACCAATATCTTTCATGTCTATAGAACAAGATTGTTTTCATTATGTGAATGAGCCAGATGCCTTTTAAGAAAACAAAGTGTGGGTGTTAAGAAATTAAGAGTATGACATTTGTTCTGATTATCTGCATGGCTGTGCAGGTGTGAATGTTACCTGATCTACTGGCATCATAAGAACCTTAGTATACATAAAAATTATAAACTGATACCCAAATTTATCGCCATTCCTTTCTCAAAGTATGTATTTAATGAACTTTTCCTTCAAAAAATGAGTGTTTCTTTTGGGGTTTTATAACAATGTTGAAAACTATACAATAGCACTCACAGGAAACACAGAAGCATGGCTTAATGCAACATATCATATGTTCCCTTACCTCCCCAGTGGTTTTATGTTTTAACATTTAATACAGCTATAACCACATTTCAATACATTGGTATTTTGAACTTTCTCAAATACACCACACATACAAACATACATACACATACATATACATATATATGTTACAGGATTATATTTTAGGAAATTAAGAAAGCCAAGTATGTTTGTGCTTGATAAAAGAAAAGAAAGTATCCTTCGTATTTCCATTTCTCCCACCACACTGCTGGAAACATTTGGGCCCATATCCTACTGCAAGACTCAACTAGAGAGCAGATCATTCTGCTGCTGAAAGATAGGTTTATGTTTAGATAAATCTCATTGGCTGAAATCTCGTTTGTGAGCCAATTCCTCTGATTTAAATGGTTCTAATCCAATTTCAACTTACTATACTAAATGCCAATTCAGTGAGCCTACTCCATTGTGACTTGCTACACTAATCAACATGATTTCAGTCATGGAGTCACTGGGTCTACTCCGGTCAGGAATTAGGATATCAACCTCTGAAAAGTTTACCTTTCTAGTTCTGGTGTAGAATGGATCAAAACACATACAGTGGTGCCTCGCTTACCGATTTTAATTGGTTCCACAAAAAACATCGCTATGGGAAAACATCGCTAAGTGAAACCATTTTCCCATAGAGATGCATTGAAAACCGGATAATCCGTTCCAATAGGAACGGATTATCCAGTTTTCTCCCCCACCATCGGGCGCAGCGCTTTGGGAGAAGCCTCCCGGTGGGGGGGAAAGATCGGATTGGTTCCTGCCTTCGTTCCCCACCACCCGGCTTCTCCCAAAGGGCTGTCCCGATGGTGCTTGCAGCAGTGGAGGAGGTGCCCGGTGGGGAAAAAAAGGTCAGATC